CTCGCCTTGTAACTAGAAGGTCCTGGGTTTGAACCCTGGCTGAAGAGCCCAAAACTAGGCTAACGAAACAGGTGTCCAGTACTCCCAAGTGGTTTTCCAATGGTCCTCTAACCGATGTCACCTCATGATGAAATCCTGTAACCTAATCGATAGCACTTAGAAAACCGCCAGAAAACACGGGGCGACAAACAGTTATTTCGTCCTAGTTTTAAGGAGAATCCACGATGCCACCGGGAGTCGAATGTGGGACATGTAGGTGACACATTCTGCGCACATTACTGAAGAGTCCTAGACCAAGACGAAACACCTATCAAGTTCTGTCTGGTTTTCAGTAGTTCTCTAACTTTTTTCAGTTCCAAACGAAACATATCCTGAAATAGAGTGAATCACCCAAAAAGTGATAACTTTAAAAAGAACTTGTCTACTGCTTTAAACAAGTATTGGGTAATCCATGAAAAGTGTTCTACGGAAACAGTATGCTTTCTAGTTTCAAAATAAAGTCACTTCATCTGTGAAGAATCTTTCATAAATGAAAACATAAACAGTACAACTACACAGGATTACTTACTAATTGGTAAGTATCACTTATTCACTAGAAATGTCTGTTATTTCCTAACAGATTTTAGTTAATAATTGAAACTTACGTTAAATTTTATCAAATGAACAAGGAAGGATTCGTAGGTTAGTTGTTCTACGACTCTTGAAAAAAAATACTAAGTGGTATTAGATGGTTGGAGGCAATCGGCAGGAAGCCTTGGACCTAGGTTTCGTGCTAGTTCGCACTCTCCAGTCAGCAAGGCATATCTGCAACAATTAAGGAACTCATGTCCCTCCAACCACCTAATACCATCAAATCAATGTGCACCATGATGGCGAGCTACCTAGAATGATGGTCACATTGCAAACCTGATGGATAGGATTCAGTTTGCACCTAAGAAAGGACTAGAAACATTACACTAGTTGCTAGTGTTCAATCAAAGTATACTAATTGGTGTAGTGAGAACAGTTGCCAGTGATAATTTATTCCTATTAACTATACTGAACTGAACTATCTTATGAGTTCAAAAGAGTTGAAAAATGCAAACTACTGGTTACTGTGTCACGGCACAGTGTTTTTCTTTTGAACAGATTTATTTCTGGTCGTGTGTAAATAGGGCTTAATTGCATATAATAAGAATAAGGCAAGTGTTCACCGCTTCCCGATTCACAAGGATTCCTTACTTAACATCGATTCACAAAGGAGACGATCATGATGAAATGCAACAACCTTATAAACTTTCCAAGTATTATATAACAAATATATGCCTTTTTATTCAAATAAAGTTGTAGTTTACAGTCACTCTATTTGACCGTATTACACACACTTTAATGAGATATGATTACACTGACACCTGAAAGTTTGTATTACTCCATGACGCTATATACTACTGACTAATTCATATGAGTAGTTGAATGTCACTCATATAAATCAGTAGTGCTTACCAGTCAGATTGAAGTGATCTAAGCATCAGAAGACAGTTTCGCTTCTTTCGGTTCGAGGTCATCAGTGGTATGTATGCCCACACCTATTGACTCATCTGAGTTCGAACTATTCGAATTCTGGTTAGCTACTATGGACAACTGGTAAAATTTTCAAGAATTGGTTTGTAAGGATTAGATTTGTTTTTATGAGTTTGACCACGGATTGATATCATTTCGACAACCACTGAAAACCAGCAAGGAGTACTGGATAGCTGTTTCGTCAGCCTAGTTTTGAACTCACCAACAGTACGCACCCACTGCCAGGGTACGAACCCAGGGCCTTCCAGTTACAAGGTAAGCTCGTCCCGGGTTCAAACCCCAGTGGGTGTGTGCCGTCGATGAGTCCCGAAATAGGATGGAACAGCTGTCCAGTACTCTCTGGTTTTCAGTGGTTCTCTAACTGATATCAATCCGTGGTCAAACCCCTAAAAACTGGTATTATGCTAAATCAAACTCGCGATTTGCAGTTTACACAGCTCGAGTTGAAATTTAACCACAATTTCCTTTGAAAACAGAAATTATTTAGATCACAATACACATAACAATATGTGATCTGCTTGGTACCATAAGTAGCAGTCAAGAAAGAAAGCATGTTTAAATGCATCACGCTATATACATATATCACTTCTATCTGTCTAACAAGCACTACTGGTTCTTATGAGTTGTACTCAACCACTCATTTTACCTAATCATTAGTATATATAGTTCTCTCTTCTGACCTATCTTGGTCTTCTCATGTCTTAGCGATTTCTCAAAGAATATTTCGTCTGACTTTCTACATTAAGAAGTTGAGGTACTCAGGCATAACCCAACCACTCCTCTTACGGTTTGTCAGCTCGTGTATTTCACCTATTCTTCTTTACTGTTCACTGTTATTCTTTCCTGGATTGCTAAAAAAGGACTATGTCATACTTCGTAGAACTCTGAAGACTGTCAGTAGGATGAGTGGTATCCCATTGGGCCATATCGTTGGCATTGTCACTGATAGGCATTTGATGTCATGCAACAGATTCGCTAGAGGAATTTTGTCAGACTCTGAACATCCACTCTACCAGCAGCTTCAACCTTGTGTCTCCTCAGGTAAAACAAGAAGTCTTTTCAGAAGACTTTATGCACGTACGTCTAAGTATAAAAATTCCACTATACCATATTTAGCACGTACTCTATGTGATGAAAATAGTGTCAGAAATGAACTAATTAACCTCCTTAGCATCACTAAATAGACCATTTCCTTCAACCTTTATTGTTGTTGTATTTCTTATATTTATAATCCTCTCAATTTTTTCGTTTTGTTTATTTTATTTTTCATAAGTGTGGACATAATTTTAAGCTGTATTATGACTGTTAACTTTGTATTTCACCTCACTATACCATATCAACAGAACATTAGACCCAATTATCCATGACATGCTAAAGTTTCCAGACTGAATCGACAATACCGTTTGAAACAAACTCACTGTTATTAGTATTTATTATTATTATTATTATTATTATTATATCTAATAATTATATCGTTAATGTGGACAAATTCCTCCGATTTATTTTTGTTTTAATTTTTAATTTTATATACACTTTGAGTAAATCAGATGCAATATTGTGACAAATGCTGAGAATTCCATTCTGTATTATAAGTACTGTTTTTGGAATAAAGTAAATTATTATTATATAGTTTTATACAGTTTTGCTTGATTTCTCGATTACCATCTGTGGTAGCAAGCAAATCACATACTCTAATGAAGTTTTACCTCAAAATGTGTAAAATTCAAAAAACTAGGTGAGGTTAATTATAACCTTAGTTAGTACTTATATTTGATCATTTTTATCATTCACCCCAGTGTCACTCCATCCTACTCACATGATCTCCTCCATGTCACTCCTAGACCACGCCCAGCTCATCGTTTCCTACTCGGGTTCAACTCGAGGGCATGGTGTGCAGTGTCATTCAACGGTTTCCACAGTGTGTGCACGATCCATTTCTATTTCCTTCTGCATATTTGTCGGCCTGTAGGTTCTTGGTTAGTTTGTTCCCAGAGTTTCTTATTGCTTATCCTCTCCGATCGACCATCGGGTTTTATATATCAAGCGAGGACAGCTGGTGACGAAAGTTTGTAGCCGCCTTTCGTGATGCCCGCACCAAATCCCTCTTATCTATATAGAAAGACTGACTGCCTTGACATCTGTGTCGAAGACCTAGATTGTAAACACTAAGCTGAGTGCAGTAGATTTTCACAATGATTTCAGGTTACTGAAGGTCTCTTTTGCATTTTCAGTACTGGCTGGCTTCAAAGTGTCCATTCATGCCAATTGTAGTTGAAATACTTCTGCCTGTCCAAGGAAAACGGTCTTACCTTAAACCCCTCCAAATGCCAAACAGTCAATTTCCCTTTAGGCATAAATCCGACTTAAACAAACTGGTTGGCTCACACGAGGTATGCAACATAGACGGCACTGAAATAGAAACTAAATCGGAAATTAAATACCTAGGCGTCATTCTATTTGTTGATATCTCCTGGTCATCTCATATCTTGGCGATTTCTAGGAAAATATTCCGTCTTACCTTCTATAACAAGAAGTGAAGACATTCTGGATTAACCCAACCCTTACTCTTACGATTCGCTAACTCTTGCATCCTGCCTATTATTCTCTATTCTTCCCCCTTAGTTTTTCCAGGGCTACTGAAGAAGGACTATATCTTATTACGTAGGGTATTAAAGGTTGTCAGCAGGGTAAGCAACGTGCCACTTAACCAGCTTGTTAATATTCTGGTCGATAGGCACATGGACTAATGTGAAGAATGGGCTAAATCCACTCAGTCTAACTCACACCACCCTCTTCAATCACAACTCTCCCCTTGCATCTCATCAGGCAAAACCAGAAGCCTATATAGAAAACTATATGCTCGCACTAGCAAGCACAAAAACTCAACCATACCCTACTTAGCTCGTGTTCTGTGTGATAAAGAAAGCATTAGGCGTGACACCATAATTCATTAAATAGTCAGTAGTACAACTGGATCTCGTCTTTCCAACTCATATCATTTATAGGAACAACGTTTTCTTTCTTTCTTTTCCTTTTCTCTCTCTCACTTTTTTTTCGTTATGTGCTGCTTTGTTGCTTTCTTCCGCTTACGTCAGTAAATGTGACAGCACCTACTTTTCTAACACCTTCAAACACTGCTCAACTTTGGCTTTGCTACCGACATATCAACATGTTGTTGTCATAATGAACTGAGATTTCCTTAATCTATGTAGAATTCTATTTATTGATAATGTACTAACTGGATGCAGTACTGTAGTAAAAATGCAAAGAATTCCATTCTGTATCACATGTACTGTTTTGGAATAAAGCAAATTATTATTATTAGATAAGTGAGAGAGTTGACCTTCTTCAAATTTCTCCACAAATATTATTATCGATAATTAATTATCAATTAGTCAGTACTTACGTTTTGTGATAATTATAATTATTTTCATTTGTAGGTTTCTTCTATCAATCGAGTGCTGCGTAATTTATCCAATGAATCCCAGAGACAACTGTCATCCGCCGCGGCAGCCGCAGCTGTCGCCGCAGCGGCTGTAGCTGCTCAAGCAGCTGCCCATCGAAATTGTGTAAATAATTCGAATACAGGAATTAGCCTGTCCAATTCAAATCATTGTCTTGCAACACAGAATTATTTATCTAATATGAAGTGTGATTTACACGGTCTCACAAAATCATTTATGCCATCTGTGTTCAATTTCCCGCCATACAATAATCCAAGTAACAATAATAATAACAGTAATAATAACAACACTAATAGTAATAATAATAATAATGGTAACAATAATCTATTTTCAATGCCACCTACAATTCCACCATTTTATCCTCAACAAAATTCAAACTTGAACAGACACCCCTCTAGTTGTTTTAATGAACAAAATGTAATTGAATCATGTTCAAATGTACCACAGAAATCACATACACATTCAAATAACCCACTTTATCATACTCACAGTCAAACGAATCATTCACCGATAATATCAAGTTATTTTCAAACAGGGACTAGTAGTAACAAACCTATTTCATCGAATATAAATCCTAATACTAGTAATAATTCACAAGAAACACGTTCAGCCTATGATAAGTTTAATAATTTATTTATATCTGCTGCCTCGAGTACTACACAGAATTCATGGGCACAAGCATGGTATTCAGCTGCTGCCGCGGCATCAGCCAATAGCGTTTATTCTAGTTTATACTCATCGTCAAACAGTACAAGTCATAAAAACGAATGCCTACAAGACAGACAATTCTCTCCACCGCTGAACTATTTAAATCAGTGCAGATTTTCAGGGATTTATCAGAATCTTGAAAATGCTGTCATCAATTCAGTTAGTGATAATAACAATGCCACTAATCATAATTTTGATATCAGGTGTTCAGAAGGTATGGAGACAATGCGTAGAGGATTAGAAGAGCAGGGTAGAAATCGACCTTCACCTCACTGTTCAGAATCACAACAACCACAACCACACCATGAAAAGTTGCCTATTTTACCCCAACAATCACCACACAATCCAATATCAACATATAATAGTAATAATACTGGTAATAACACTAATAATTCGCCTATTCACCAATCTATTTTATCCTGTCAGTATGATACAAAGATGGACTCCAACTGGTCATCATTAGGGCGTCAAAATCCCCACCCACATCACCACGTGCACCAGTTACAGCAGTCTGAAAATAATCAAAGGCTCCATGACAGTCTGTTGAAATTTGAGACAGAAGAATTTAAACAATTAGTATCTTCTATAGATGAGAAAGATAAGCTGGATAGACAAAGGAGGAAATTCCCAATTAATCCATTGTTTACTTATGAAAATTTAAGTAGTATGCGAGAACATGCTGAAAATTTTATTCAGCTACGTAATGATAGTGACACAGTTCACACAAATTTACATCATTATTTAATTAATAGAGATATGCACAGGATGGATACACACGGATTTACACATATACAAGAAGAAGATCAGAGAATGCACGAATTAGGCGTAGGTGGCTATGATGACGAAGAAGAGGACGGAGATGATGAGGATGACTGCGGCGAGGATGAAACCAATTGTAATACAACAACAGTCAATCCATTGATGAATCTTCCGTGTAATAATGAAAGTCGAATAAATCAGTCAGTTTCATCCGCATCTATAAAAAATGTAAACGTAAACTTAAAAAGAAATTTATGCCCAAATGAAACAGTAAATACAAAAGAAGACAAAGGAAGTAGTGGCACAAGCTTTTTGTTTAAAAATTCCATGAATGAAAATCGTACTTCGTATGGAGAGAGTCATATAGAGAGCAATCATTTACTTGAAACAAGTAAGTTTACAAATAATAGTTAAGCTATCAAGAAAAAGACATTGTATTGGTACTGAAATTTCATTGTTAGATTAGTACCCATTGCAACGGTAAAAGACGAAGGACTTGGTTAAGGAATGTATATTTGGAAATTGGTATCACTGTATAGTCACATTATGTACAACTTATCTTCAACGCATTACGATTTGCACAGATCTTCCTTGTTGTGCTACTACTGCGCTTCCTTCAAATTGTGTTTCTTTGTGTTCCTTTCACGTCTCCCATGTATCTCCACAACGCTGTATCATTTTCTTTCTCTGACATCAAATCTATCTCCTTGCTACTTGATGTTTTTATGCCGATGAACGTCCCTGTATGTATACTACTGATAAATCTTATCAGTAGTACACGCTACACCATCATTCTTTATAAATATACATTATGCTACTTAATTACGCTAAATTATTATTCCCTGTGGTTCCGAGTTGAAAATAGGTCTTCAGCAGTACATCTTCATTTCATCCTATTCACTGCTAATGATTGCTCATAAGCTCTAATCCCTATTTTACATGATCTCCGCCACATCACTCCCAGGATAAGAGTCCGACTCATCGTTCCCCATTTAGGTTACACTTGAGGGTCTGGGACACGATATCATTCAACGACCTCTACTGTGTGTCTCATCCACCTCCATTTCCTTCGACATATTTGTTAGGCTATTGGTTCTTGATTGGTCTCTTCCAAGAGTTCCTCATTGCTTAACCTTTTTTGATGGCTATCTGATATCCGTTATCGATCCAGAGAAGGCAGCCGTTAATGAAAGTCTGCAGTTACTTGTTGGAAATGTTTTTGATTGCTCATGTGGCGAATATGTGAAAGCTCTGACTGACTTGATATCAGTATTATAAACCCAAATCTTGTTTTTTATGCTGAATGCAGCAGATTTCTACACCAAATTCATAGTAATGTAGGCCTGTATTGTTTTTCAAATCCTGGTCGGCTTTGAAGTACTCACCTGTGCCGCCTGTATTTGAAATGATGTTGCCCAGATGAGTAAAATAGGTGACGTCCTTCATATTTCTCCCGTTAACAATGATGATAACATAGAACTTAATGTTCACGTTTAGATCAGCTCTTCAGGCAAGGTTTGCAAATTTATTATTAATATATTCCTTAATGCTCCTAGCGGAACAAAGGGATTCAAGCTGGAGGTTTTAAGTTTCGGTAGAATTGGTATTTATTTTTTTGATTGCACACTAGTCAGTCACTAGTGTAATGCGTCTAGTCCTATCTTCGGTGCAGACTGAATTCTATCAGTCATGTTTGCAATGTGGCCACCATGCTAGGTGGCTCGCCATTACGGTGCACTGTGAATTGTTGGTATTAGATGGTTGGAGGCAATCGGCAGGAAGCCTTATTTATTTATTTTACGGGATGGGGTTGCCAGCCTCATGCCAAACCTTCCCTCTTTACCAGTCTTACTACTGACTTAGCAAGGTAAAGGAATGCGTCGGCCGGAGATTGGACCCCGTACCGCATGTGTGGTTGGCAAGAATTCTACCGCTCTGCCAACTACGCATTTAGGTTTGCAAATACTTTCCAAATATTCAATGCAATCATATGTTGCAAATGAAGGTTAATCTAATGAGGCACAACAGATAAATGAGATATGTACCGCATAACCAGGCATGAAACGAAAGGTGTTAAGCAGTTTATTGCCCTCATCAAAATACGGTCTTTATCGAAGTTAAACAGTATTGCCTTCTGTAGACACTCAGATAGTGATATTAGCTAAATTGTTTAACTGAAATGAACAGATATGTATTTCCCACATTCCACTGAAAGGTAATAGGTAACAAATTGACTTCTGTGTAAAAGTATAGTAGTCTTATGCTTATATGAGAGAGGATAGTATTAGAGAGAACAAATATATACCAAGGACTGACACATGTGAAGTAAATCTGTGTCTTCACTCGTTAGTTGTATATGCAAGGCTATCCCGAACAATGAGTATGACACTAAATAAAATTTTCAAGAGTTGATTTGTAAGGATTAGATTTGTTTTTCGAGTTTGACCACAGATTGTTATCAGTTAGATAACCATTGAAAACCAGCACTTGACTACTGGACAGCCGTTTCATCCTAGTCTGGGAATCATCGGCAGTAGGCACCCACCGCCAGGGCTTGGACCCAGGACTTTCCGGTTACAAGGCAAGCCCGCATACCATTCAGCCACTTGGAGCTGATTCACTGGCCAACTCATGAATTCTGACTTCTACCAATTCGTGATTTTTGCACGACCATCGACCAATGTCACGGTAAAAGAACGTGCATTGCATCCGGGAGGTCCTGGGTTTGAAATCCATTGTGTGTGCTGATGATGAGTCCAAAACTAGGATGAAACAGCTGTCCTATACTCCCTCGTTTTCAGTGGTTGTCTAACTTATATCAATCCTTGGTCAAACTTGAATAAATAAAATTGTTGAGATAAAATATGTCAGATTCTTACTATCCCATAAGAAAAGAAAATACTCGAACTTTGTATTCATAAATATTTTATTTAGCTTATTTTACTACTATGGGCTTAGTCTAAATTTGCTTTTTTTCGCTTTGTTGTGTGACCCACTTCCAGTTCTTTGTGCTCATATTTCCTATCAATGTTTCTCCAAATAATCATTCACCATTAAGTTAGTTAGTCATGCACTTCCACGATGACTTAAGGTTATTCATTATTTTTCATATATTAATATTTCTCATATACTTTGATGACTTCACTATTTTAGTAACTGAAAACAGACTTTTATCCTTGTCGGCAATTAACATTATATATACATAACAAGATGTTAAGAAAAAATATCTCTTTTTTGACCTTTACATTCTTAATTCAGAGTATATAGCAATTCTCCATATCATGTAGGGTTCTATCAAATGTAATACTCTAGAAGAAATGTTTACTAACACCTACTTTAATTATTAATAATGGATATCTGCTGGCTTCAGTACTCATTTATCTCTAACACCAAGTTTAAACTACTTGTAAAAGATAGAAATAGAGATAATGAAGGTATACAAAGCATCTTTTAGCTCATATCACTCACAATGCTCGACAGTGATCCTTTAGCCCATGTTAACCTTAAAATAAGTTACGTAATAGACTGAAATGAGTCAGACACGAACACACATGCACATACACATCTCACTTAATAGGAAAATAAAGATTAAAAAGACGGCTGGAGAGAAGAAAACTTTCTTTTCGATGAAGTCACCAACTAGGCTCTACATTCGTGCATATACATGGTAAACAGGTGAGATACTTCCAAAACTGTTTTCCGTACGAGGTCAAAATATATCGAACAGTCAGAATACAAATAGGGAGGAAAAACGCAACAGGAACTCTGGATAAGATGGCCATGATAAAGACAAGCGTCCGACTCACATCCTTTAAATATATAGCGTCGGCTTGAATCTTCCAACAGCTAGTGCTTCAGTTATGCCTAGATGTCTTAATCATAATCGTTTTGAGAGGTTTGGCTAGATCTTGTATAGAACCTTGAAGAATTTTTTAAATGGGACTGAGTGTTCTGAGTTCACCAGACGTTCTTCCTTTACTTGGCAGGCTGAAAGTAGTTCTCTCCTCTTTATTACATATATATATATATATATATATATATATATATATATAGCTAACTCTCTCAGCAAAAAAAATATTTCAAAGATTTGTCATTAGAAATGTAAATTTTAGTCAACAAATTATGTAACGTAGAAAGTGTTAATCGGGTAGAAACTAAAATAAAATATTAGAATTGTAATTTTCAGATAACAAATTGAGTTAATAGGTTAGAAACCAAAGTAAGATTATACAAGTAAGTTGAGTGACGTACTCTAATTGACGAGGTTGAGTAGAGCTCAGCTAAAATTAAAGTAGAACAAAATTCAAGTTAGCAGTAGTGGTATTAAGGTGGTAGAGATTTAATAAGAGGTGGGGGAAGAAAATAATATACAATTAAGAAACAAGCAGGCAAGAAAAGAAGAAACAAAATTACATATTTGGTGTTAAGATAGGTCAGATCCACTATAGATTTAATGACTGAACAAACTCCTTTTGGATGCAGAGTTCAGGTTTTAATATATAAATTGCCATTGCTTCTGAGATTTGAAGAAGTTTGATTCGTACTATTTTAGCAAGATTCTCACATATTCCGTAAATGACTTTGAAGTTAATTTGTGGGTTTTCTTAGTGTTCCAATCCATCAGGTGTTCGAGAATAGAGCTTGGGGGTACCATATTTCTAAGACCATGACTGTAGGTAAGTGTTCCATGCCAACAGTGGTAGCTTATCCTTCACGTTCATGCGAATCATTGGTTTCGTAGAGAAGGTTAGAAGAAGTTCAGCCGCGAAGAAAGTTTTCTTCAGTGAGTGGGACAGGAGGTTTCTCAGTATTTCTGACGATGAATCTCCATTGAACTGTAGGTTTAGGTGAAGACGTTTTTTTGGGAGCACAGAGTGTGGGCGGTTTAGGTTTCAAAGATTTTGTGATGAAACCTTCTGGGTAGCCGTTTTCTAAGAGGATTCTCTTCAGGGTGTTTAGCTCCTCTTCTGTAGTATCAGGGCTCCAAATGCTCTTCAAATGCTGTGGCTCACTGAACGGACCAGGTTTCATTTTGTATATAGGGACACCCAACTTTAAAAGTTGGTAAGTTGTCCGTTCCACGTCGGCTTTCTGTAGATGGATCTTTTTTGTGTTCCATCTTGTCCACGTCTTGTTAATTTGACGTCCAGAAAAGATATTGTTGTGCCAGATTCCTTCTCTAGTGTGAACTGAATTGCTGGATGGCAGCTATTGAAGAAGTCCAAGATGTTATCCAAATTCTCCTCATTGTTGGAGATAATACAGGTGTCATCCACGTATCTCTTACAGAATCCAAAGTTGTCAGCCATCTTCTTTAGATGTGTGTTTTCTAGTTTTGACAATAAAAAGTCTGCGAGCAACAGGACAAGTAGTGAGCCCATAGCTATACCATCTTTTTGTCGATATACTTCGTTATTGAAAGAGAATTGGACATTTAAGGTGCATCTCAATAAGAGTTCCTTCAAATATTCAGTGGGTATACCAATGTTCATCTCCTCTGAATCAATATTTTCACATATATAGCATATTGTTTCGGTTAGTGGGACATTTGTGAACAATGATACCACACGAATGAACATTCTAGTTGATAACCTCGTTCAAAAGAAAATTTCCGGCAATTCAAGGGTCTTTTTAATTTCTCCTATGATCTAATCTGTATACTCTGTAATTTAAGAGTATAACCTGTTTCTTTTCCTTTCCGCTCGATTCTAGGAGAAACACCTTCAATATTTTTTACAAGAGAATTCAATGATAATTTAAATAGACGAATGAATCAAAAGGAACTAGAACGACAACATGAACAAGATGAAGAACACACAGGAGGAGGACGAGGAGAAGAAGATGAAGACGAAGACGAAAGACAACAAAGGCAGAATTATTTGGCTAAACTGAGTCAGATAAGTCAACTTTCAGATAGGAATAACAATAGTAATAAACCGCCAACAATACCACAATCAACATCAACAACATCGACAGTACTAGAGAATGTGAATATGTTTACACAGTTCAGTAATAACAACAATACAAGTAATAATATGAATAGTAATAATCATAGCAATGACAGTAATCATAGTGATAGTGAAATAGTTCATGCTTATAATAATACTAACACTAATAGTTCAATGTTAGCTCAGTTAAGTACACACTTATATGAAGAGTTAAATGAACCACCGGAGACATTTATTGAATCACTTCAGTCAAATTGTGTACAACAGCTGAGAGAAACAATTAAAAAGAGAACACTGGCTGATTTAGATGAGAGCATGTCTGGGTTGACAAATAAAATACTGAATACCACTACTACTACTAATAATAACAGTAATATTACTAATAGTGCTATTAATATACAGTCGTTATCGTCAATTAGTCCTAAATCAGAAATAACTGAAAGACCGAATTCTGTAATGAGTGAAACTACTTCATCACAGATTGATTCAACTGATGAAAGACAACAGGGTAACAATAAACAGAAACACCACCAACAACAACATCCTCATCCTCATCAACAGCATCAACAACAACGTAGTCGAACTTCATTTTCTAATCTTCAACTGGAAGAACTTGAAAAAGGTAAGCGGTGCAAATTTTTTTATTCATTTGCATTCTGAATGTAAAATAGAGCTTCAGGCGTTAGCTTTGAAGTTTCAGTAGCAGTGATCGTCATACTTTACGGACTGGGACTGTTGCCTCACACCCAATCCTCTCTCTTTACCGTGTATATTTGTAACAACAGAAGACAAGGGCCAGGCAACAGAACGTTTATTACGGAAAATCAACACATATTTATAGATTTTGATGTACATTATTGTAGGTTAATGTTAATAGAAAATACAGTCTGTTGATTGGTTGTTTCTCACACAAAGTTAACCTTGCATCTCTTGTGGCTGTGTCAGTTCATCTATATGTTAACTGTATCCGCCTGTCCATCTTGACCTTGTTTTCACATGACTAACATTGACCTCAATTACTGTCAACCAATTTGGCTAGCAACCATCTCTCACCACATATTGACGGCTAGGCGAGATTTCAGAGTTCGCCTGTCGGGAATCAATCTCCAGACCACGTGAGTGGCTGGTGAGGAATCTAACACTGAATAACCAACATACCGGGGTATACACTAGAAAAATGCGCAATAACCATATGATATGATGTGATATGTGTGAATACAGACACATCCACACCCACATAGGGAGGAGTAATCGTGCTTCGCATGTAAGGGTGGCTTGAGAAATAACTGAACTGTGAAACCTCGATAAACGCAAGGCGGCAGACTACCAACTTCATCTTTAGCTAAACATATAATAATAATAATTTGCTTTATTCCAAAACAGTACATGTGATACAGAATGGAATTCTCAGCATTTTTACTACAGTATTACATCCAGTTAGTACATTATCAATAAATAGAATTCTACATAGATTGGAGAAACCACAGTTCATTATTACAACAATACATTGGCATGTCAGTAGCAAAGGTAAAGCTGAAACAGTGTTTGAAGGTGTTAGAAAAGTGGGAGCTGTCATATTTACTGGCGTGAGCGAGAGAAAGAAACAAAGCAACACATAACGGAAAAAAAGAGAGAGAGAAAAGGAAAAGAAAGAAAAAAATGTACCTATAAATGATGTGTTAGAAAGACGAGATCCAGTTGTACTACTGACTATTTAATAAGTTATAGGTGTCACGCCTAATGCTTTCTTTATGGCACAGAACACGAGCTAAGTAGGGTATGGTTGAGGTTTTGTACTGGCTGTTGCGAGCATATAGTTTTCTATATAGGTTTCTGGTTTTGCCTGATGAGATGCAAGAGGAGAGTTGTGAGTGAAGAGGGTGGTGTGAGTTAGATAAAATGGATTTAGCCTATTTTTCACATGAGTCCATGTGCCTGTCAACCAGAATATTAACAAGCTGGTTAAGTGGCACGCTGCTTACCCTGTTGGCAACATTTAACATCCTGCGTAATATTTTATAGTCTTTCTTCAGTAGCCCGGGAAAAACTAGGGGGGACGATAGAGAATAACAGGCAGAATGCGAGAGTTACCGAATTGTAGGAGTAAGGGTTGGGTAATACCAGAATGTTTTAACTTCTTAATGTAGAAGGTAAGACGGAATATTTTCTTAGAAATTGCTAAGATATGAGACGACCAGGAGAGATCAGCAGATAGAATGACGCCTAGGTATTTAATTTCCGATTTGGTTTCTATTTCAGTGCCGTCTATGTTGCATACCTCGTGAGAGCCAACCAGTTTGTTTAGGTCGGATTTGTGCCTAAAGGTGAAATTGACTGATATCATTCACTAGACTGATACTACAACGTCTTTCACGATTCACTATAAAAGTAATCAGCAGCGCGTACTGCCTCTGGACATGGACACTATTACAATCAACTTTATAACCCGTCTTTATGATGTGTGGCGCGACAGATAATGTCGGGCATCACTTTCCAGGGTCGTCTGACTTAAGTGATTTGATTTTTTCCTGTAGCCACTGACGGATGTGCTCTGTAGCCCTGAAGAAACCGACGGGTCCTCTCTATGTACATGCGTTCAGATGTAGGATAACATAAATTTCATTTATTTTCCGTGAAAATGAGTCTAGTTGTATATTAAGTTCTATTGAGTACCATCTGAGTCTTTATTTAGTGAACAAACTTCGTTAAAGACTCTTAAACGATAAGGTTAAATAAACATTCAATTTGGCATCTTATTGGACTGGTGAAGCATTTTGTTGGGAAATGAAAACGAGTGATTCGGCGAAGGAACTCTTTTCAGCAAATTTATTACTAAGCTGTACAACTGTATATGTATGATATTTTTTGGTATATTAATGTGATTTATGACAAAATATTTGTGATTATAATCATCACATCAAAGATAGGACTTCAGTTGAACATAGAGAAAACAGAGGTGATGAAGATCCCTGGGCAACACCACCAACAGCAACAACAACAACAGACAACAATCAGCATAAATGGGAGGAACCTGAAAGGAACTACCTCCTTTACCTACCTGGGAAGCATCGTTTCAACTACAGGCGGAATTAACGACGATATCAAAGCAAGAATCGGAAGAGCAAGACAAGCTTTCACTACTCTCAAGTCTGTGTGGAGGTCAACAGCACTCAGAATGGAAATGAAAATAAGATCCGGATTTTCAACTCCAATGTGAAGTCAGTGCTACTCACTGTACGGATCAGAGGCTTGCACTGCGCGTCATAAAGAGCATCTCAAACAAACTACAGACCTTCATTAACAGCTGTCTTCGCTCAATACTCAAGATCAGATGGCCAACCAGAAAAGATCAGCAACAGAGATCTCTGGGAGCGAACCAACGCAGCAGGAACCGATTGTGCAACAAATATGGAGGAAGAAATGGAGATGGATTGGCCATACTCTTAGGAAACCATCAAGTGACATCACTAGACAAGCCATTGCTCGAGTGGAACCCGAAAGGGAATCGGCGAGTTGGTCGTCAGTGCAAGGGTGACTTGGAGGAGGTCATGTGAAGAGGAGATGAAAACGTGTGGGCAGACTTGGAGCCAGGTGAAGACTCTAGCAGAGAACCGAACGCAATGGAAACGCACAGCTGAAGCCCTATACTCCTCTAGGAACTAAAGGATACAATAATAATAATAATACAATAAACATCAAGCGACAGAATAGGTTACGTGATTTATGAAATAGTTCTTACGATGCATAAGTCTTAGAAAGGGGGTATAGAATTATCAAGATTGTTAAGCCACTAAAACATATAACATGATGAGAATCCTTATAGGAAAACATTGCAAATAAATTAGATTAAATAAAATAAATAAAGGACGACAAGTGTGATAATATGGGGAGTCGTTCAAATTACTTTTGATTGGACACTAGTAACTAGTGTGATGTGTCTGGTCCTTTGTGTGCTGTAGACTGAATTCTATCAGTCAAGTTTGCAATGTGGCCACCATGCTTGATGGCTCGCCTTCACGGTACATTCAGAACTGTTGTTATTAGATGGTTGGAGACAATCGGCAGGAAGCCAAACCTTGGACCTAGGTCTTGTGCTTTCTGGCAATCGTTAGCAAGGCGCATCTGCAATCAGATATGAGTTCTTTCAATATTCCCGCCGCTGGCCTCCAGCCATGTAATAACAAATATTCGTCAAAATGGAAATAATAACACCCTGTCGAACTTATTGATTTGTCTTCTTTTCGAAGATTGAGCTGCTTTAATCGACCTACTGGAGTTGTCAGGTGACTTGACAGCTACGGATTTAGGATATACATTCTGTTGCAGACAACGGAGACTGACAGAGTGTTTCAACTAAACTGTAATCCTAAACACCATAATTTTGAAAATATGTCTAATTACAAAATTCTGGGTACTAACAGTTTGAACGAACGTGAAGGTGTGATGTTAGCCGATGTATGGCAAATCCTGATTAATAAATAAATATGTCACAGGATGTCATCATGAGCTGACATCAGTTAGAGAACCATTGGAGAACTTGGGAGTACCGGACAGCTTTTTCGTCCTGGTTTGGGACTCTTCACCAGTACGCACCCATACAGCGGGGTTTGAACCCAGGACCTTCTGGTTACAGGGCGAGCTCGTAGACCATTAAGCCACTGGGACCCAATCCAATGGCCCATGAATTCTAAATTCTGCCAATTCACGATATAGCGCGACCACTAGCCAATGTCTTCGGCGAGTATTTGTCCTCACACCTGACCTGCTGCACCCTACTGCTCACGACTTCTCACTGGAACCCCAACACTTGAATATCGATGAGATTTTCACAGCTGTCCAGTACTCCAATGTTGGTTTTCAATGGTTCTCTAAATGATATCAATCCGTGATCAACTCGTAAAAACATAACTAACCCTTACAAACCAAACTATAGAAAATTTCTCTAATATCCCATATCTGCATTATTATTATCATCATCATCACTATGTGTTTTTTCTATTTTCAGAATTTGAACATACTCATTATCCTGATGTATTTTCACGTGAAAAATTATCAAGTCGTATACTCCTACCAGAACCACGTATACAAGTATGGTTTTCCAACCGGCGTGCAAAATGGAGACGTGAAGAAAAAATGCGTATTAAACAGCTGACCTACAGAAATCAACAGAGATCACTTCATCAAAATAACAATAATAATAATAATAACAGAAGTAATAATAATAGTTGTAACAGTGATAATAGTAGTAGTATAACACTGGCATCGACTATCTCACCGACAACAAGAATACAATTAAACCCGACATGTACTCAACCTACTGACAATGACATGAAAATTAGTCAAATGAATATAAAAGATAATAACAGTAACAGCAGCATTGGAACAATAGAAATGAACAGATCAAACTGTTTAACGTATCCTATAGGTCATCCAAAGAATGTCAACACTAATGAACTACACTCAACCACATGTAATAATAATAATAACAATGATATAATGAACAGGAATACTGACTTATTAAGACCATTAGATGAGCAGAGAATTCATTCGACAAAAATCAGTCTGAAAGAAAATAAATCCAATGAAGTTATCTCAATGGCTACAAGATATTCTAGAGATGATCTGATGATGAATAAAGACTTCGGAGAGGAGGATAACAGTCATAGCCAACAACTCCATCCACATCATCAACAACATCATCATCACCATGACAACCAAAATCATTTGTATCACAATCATCAGAATTTAAATGAGAAACACTGGTCTTCATTACATCGTTTACAGCAACAACAACAACAGCACCAACACCAACATCAACACCAGCATCAGCAACATCCGCCACCACAGCAACACTTACAGTTGTAAACACATTAGTTTAAACAAACAAACAAACAAAAAATAATAATTGAACAATGAATATACATACATATTTAATTCAATATATATAAACATGTGCGAGAATTTCATTTTCAAAATCAAAGTTTAACAAGAAAATAATTGAGTACATAATGAAATTATTATGTGAGAAAGTTTTTAAATAATGATTAATACAATCTATCTGCCAGTTCAATGTTCAATTTAATTTGTTGTACAGTGACTTCGAAATATTTGCAAATAAATATCTTTAATTTATTGAATTGTGCGTATATTAAACTACAACTTTTTTTTTAGAATTTTTAATATATTTGTGCGTTGAAGTTTTTGTAGCAATTTGGTTAAGTTTTGGGGGTGGAGTTGCTAGCACCACGCCCCAACCCTCCCTCTTTATCCGGGCTTGAGACCGGCTAGAAAACTAGAAACTATGGGAAGAAACAAAACAAGAACCAATCGCTCAACAAATATGCAGGAGAAAGTGGAGATGGATTGGACACTCGCTGAGGAGGCCGCTGGATGACATCGCGCGTCAGGCCCTCGAGTGGAACCCGAAAGGGAAGTGGCGAATGGGACGTCCAAGGGTGACATGAAGGAGATCGTGTGAAGAGGAGCTGAAACAGTATGGACTAACATGGATGCAGGTGAAAAGTACAGCAGAAGACAGAAGTAAGTGGAGACGTGCAGTTGAAGCCCTATGTTCCACTAGGAACTCAAGGGAACAATGATAATAATAATAAACTACAATGATATATATATATATATAATGTTGATGGCTAGGTTAGTGGTTCCTATAAAATTCATTAGGAAGATCGACAAAGGCCAAAAGCAAATTAAAAATAATTGTAAAAGTAGTAGTGATAACATAAATAAGAAAGAATATAAGTCATCTACGGTTATACCATATAAGGAGGGGATATCTGAGACCCTACGTGGTAGGATTCTTAATAAAGCAGGAATTCGGGTGGCATTCAAACCTATAAACTCACTCAGAGACAAGCTCTGTAGGCTAAAAGACCCGGTGGACCCAATTAAACAAAATTATATAATTTACAAAATACCTTGCAATGACTGTGAGTTAGGTCAACTACATAGGCCAAACTAGTAGGTCGGGGGTAGTCAGATTGTCGGAACATAAGAATTTAGCTAAGGTAAGAATGGTTGACCCCGAGAAGATAAGTAATTTTTCAAAAAAACTCAGCAATAGAACTGCATGCATTAACACACAACCACACAATAGCATGGTGGGAGAGGGTTAAGGTTCTAAGAAGTAACATAGGTAGGTGGAGGGAGAGAGAGGTTGATTATTGAATCCTGGCTGGTTCATCGAGTCTACACCCAACACAAAACATGCAACAGAAATGACTCAATGCAAATACCAGGAATATTGAAGACATTATTACCGCCAGTCAAATCAGAAGAGGATAATAAATAATCTCAAAATTCTATTTCAATTCAAGCACATCACAACATTCTAACAATTAACTTATTATGACTATAAAAACACTCGTCGTATTTCCCATCTGATTGTAATTGATCAATAACACTCGTATTATTATTTCTGAATGTACATTATCTCATATTGATTTTTATTCAAATATCTAGTCAGTTCCACACATGTATATAAATGAAGGAAAAAGTTGTGTGAGTAACTTGATATGATTATGAGCAATAGTTTGTACTCGAAACGTGGTCATCAGTTAAAATCACTGTGTAACACTGTGCGACTTATCAAAATAAAATCTTATCCATAATGGAGTTATACTCTACCACAGTGTCCAAGTTTTATACTTATAGTGGTTCGTTTGTTGTCATAGTTCATCATTTCTATCCATCGGATTTTCAGTATCGAGACAGCAAAGGCAGCTGTTGATGGAATTCTGCAGCAGTCTGTTGGTAATTGTTTCGTTGACGTGTGCTCCAAGTCTCTGAACCATGTAGAAGCACTTGCTTGACATCAGTATTCCTTGTATTGAGGGAAGAAGATCTCCATAATCGATTTCAGATTACTGAAGGGCATAAATTAGGCTCAGAATGGCATTTATTCTTTGTAAAACGTGATACAATATGGACAAAATCAACTACATCACACTGCAAACGATGAGTTTTTCATTGGCTTGCTGTTTTATAATTCATGGGAGGATTGGGATGCTGTCTAGAGGCAAAGACTGAAGTAGACAGTTATCTTTGAAATTAATCTTGACCCATAAGCTGGCAGAACAACATCAGTTGTGTTCTTAAGGTTTCTAGTAATTGAAACGGGTTCATACGCAATTCTTTCCCTTTAGGCTATTGGTTCCATATGCATTACAGATCTACAATCAGGATTTTCCAACTCCCTTAGGTGAAAGCCTATGCTTATCAGTCCAGTGATGTGCATAGGACACTTGCAAGCTCTAGTACATCGACTGCCTTGGAAGAGAACATGAAAGCATTTCGAAGGATTGATAAGAGTCCAACCACCCTTGACCGTGCCAAGTCATACATAGTAAGTAGGTCGGAACACCAACTAGTTACTTCTATATTAATTTCTTTATTAGATATATCACACAATGAAACAGTATTATTTACTGGATGACGTTCCGAATACAACTGATTGTTCATTATCATAACAATTATAACTACACAACTTTGAAACATTCGTTTTATAGTTTCCTTTATTCTTTCCTATTCGTTGTAGGGGTAGTAGAATATTCCCGATGTCAGGGACAGGTGTTAAATAATTTCCACTACACGTATTTTCTGCTGAGTCGACAAATAAAGCTTCCACTATCAATCTCATTCTCCGCCATATTATATTAGATTTTAAGACTGTCATTTTCTCCCATCCCATTGTATGGCTGTGTGTGATTGTATGTAGTGCTATCGCTGAACTATTCTCCAGATTTCTTATCTTATTAGGGTCAACTAATCTAGATTTTGCTAAGTTTTTGTGCTCCTCTAGTCTGAATAATCCCGTTCTACTACTTTAGGCCTATGCATTGAAGGGTATTACATCAACTAAATGGTTTTGTTTGATCGACTCCACAGGATCCTTTAACCGACAAAGCTTGTCTCTAAGGGGATTTGTGGGCTTGAATGCCACTTTTATTCTTGCATTGTTAAGAATTCTCCATAAGGTTTCCGAGGTTCCTTCTCTATACAGAAGTACTGTCGATGATTTAAATTATTTATGGTTGGTGATGTCATTATTCTATGGATGTTTGTCATCACTATTATCGTTATCAGTATGACTACCATTGTTATTATTAATTCTGTTTTTATATTTTTCTACATACTTCCTGATTAATTTATCAGGGTAATTATTAAGTTTTAAAGTACTTATATTCTGCTTGAGCAGTAAAAAAACGAAGATTCGAATTGTTAAACTGCATACATGAATGTGTAATAAACGGCCTAACTTAATTTAGACGATCGCATAATCTGTCTATACGACTTATTCTATTTAGTGTAGGTACTATCTGTCACCTCCATCGGTTGCTGATAACCTCCTACAGCGTTTGGGTATTTTGGGTTTGTAAGAATTCCCGATTGGTGGTTAGTTATTCAGTTCGCATTTCATCATGAGGCGATTCGATGGAGCACCGGACACCTGTTTCAGAATATTGCGCAACAACAACACCATGCACTGAACCCAGTTCTTTTTCATGGTGAATTCAGTCAATGATGGAGAATACCCCAAGAAAGAACAGTAATTTTTCAAAGTATCTCATTGTTGTTACATCGGAAACGCAGACTATAAATTATTCTAACTAACGTAAAATTATAAAACATACCTTTGCGATATCCATCTAAATGGTACAGTTCAGTAAGTTATATTTTTGCAGGTGGAACAAGTAGAATTACCGGTAAGTTCTGCTAATCATACCTTCAACTGCTTCGATAAATTCTTTCTTGCAGATAGAGTATAGAATATGTTAGTAGTTTATTTTTCTGTGAGTATTACAGTAGTATAATTAGACCGTTTAAATTTCATACCGAGGAATTACTGACTACCTCAAAGATCATTACTAGTAAAAGTAGTAATGAAAACCAAATTTTAAAGAAACCAAAATCCAGAAACAGCCGTAACTATCGGTGACTAATGATCGTACACCTGTAATGATGCGCTGGCAACTGGAGCAGAACAGGCTGGCCTCAGGTAAAAGAGACCTCAGGAAATTATATCAGATAACCAGGTCTCTATCCGGGAAGAGATCGACACAGATGAAACCCATGAAAGAAGGTCAAGGAAACCTAATTATCAAAGAGGAGAGACAAATAAAACAATGGGCTGATCACTTCTAAGGATTCTTGAATCTACCATCACCTGCAACTAGTCCAGAAATATCCCCAACGGCCAAATAACTGCCAGTGGACACCAATCCTCCAACAAAAACAGAAATCTTGAATGTGATCAAGCTACTGAAGTCCAAGTACGCAGCAAAACCGAACGCAATTCCTCCTGAAGCACTGGAGACGGCTCCGCAGCAGATATGCTGACGCCATTATTGCAAAAGGTTTGGAAGGAAGGTAAGGAGCCTGTCGATTTGAAGAGAAACTGCCTCTTCAAGCCACCAAAGAAGGGCGACTTAGGCATCTGCAAGAACTGGCGTGGAATAGTGCTCTTGTCCATGTACTGGATGCAGAACTCCGCCAAGCGGAACAGGGTAGATTCAGGAGGAGATGAGAGACTATGGGCAATCGTGGGACCATCTAAAGACGACTGGGTAAAGTGGAGATATGTTGTCAAAATCCTGTGTCCCACTTGGAGCCCAAAGGAATAATAATAAACAATGATATCCAGGTGATTCACTCCTAAGAAGTAATGCCACAAAAGGATTTTATTCAGTAAAGTCGAATGATATCCAGAACTGCTATCAAATCAGTGATGAAGTATAAGAACATGATGTTTAAGGGATTCTTAACCCCATCACTTACTAATTTAATAATAGAGAAGTGGAAACCTACAACAAGAATAAAGAAATAATCTAAGCCAAAGGGATTTATTTTCGAAATTACAAGAAATAGTAGAGATCAGTAATTTTTTGTGAAGGCAAGACAGCGACAACTGACTTCGAATACTTATCCCCTTGAGTTCAGAGTAGAACAGACAGCTTTAGCAGCACATCGCTATTTCATCCTGCGCTTTGAATTCACTCAACGGTTTCCTCCGTGTTTCCAGTTCATCTTCATTCCCTTTGATATATTAGTTACGCTGTAGATTCTTTGCCCGAGTTCCTTGTTAATTAGACAAATTCTCTGAACCCTCGGAAACCCAACTCGTCGTTTCCTAGTCAGATTCTACTCGACGGCCTTTCTTTATATCTATTGTGCGATAAGTTTTAAGCTGGTTCTTTGTCGGAGTTCCTCATCCTTTCTGATTAACTATCTGATCTTTAGGATTCAGCGAAGGCAGTATAATTCATAAACTTACCATTTACTGGATGGGTGTAGTAAAAAAACTACCTGTTATTTCCTGATAGGTAATTTCAAGCCTAAAGAACCATAGAATTCCAAGTCGATCTTATCTAGTATCTGTATAACATCGTTTCAAAGGACAATGAATTGAGGATAATTTTGCTTGAGGAATATTAAAACTGAAAAAAGCTGATGATACGTACCTACATACCTACAACACATGACTTTTGAAGTAGCTACAGTACGAAACTAAACGGATAGACCCATTCTACATTTGAATTCATTTTGGTGGATCGTGACTAGCATTAGAATTAAGGATGCGCATTTCTTCCTGTTTTGGACTCATCATCTGAATGTACCTTTACTCCATTCACCAAAATTACTTCAAGTTAATCCTTAGACATAGCCGAAGCGTCCGTACAAGGAGCTGACAATTCTACAGGAAAATCAAAGTCGGATGAAAGACAAACACTATGTCAGGTTTCTCTTTTGGAATTAATTTCAGTAGTTTGTAAGCCAAATAAGACCAAACCTTTCGCTTAACTTAAATAGTGTCTTACATAAACTGTTGAAGATCTTTAGTAGGTAGGTTGAAATCAGAGCATCATTTTATTTTTTACTCTTCGTCACATTTCATGAACATTATGTAAATAAGTGTACACATCAACCGTAAAATCTTACGAAATCATTTTATGCGATTAGTTTCCTTGATAAATAATCGTTTTTACAAAGACTGCACTGTTTTAATAACTGTGTAATAACAGAAGACAAGGGCAAGGCAACAGATCGTTTATTGAGGAAATCAAGAGATATTTATACATATTTTTATGCCCATTATTATTCGTCATTATTAGCAGAGAAACAGTGTCTTCTGATTGGTTGTTTTCTCACTGGAAGTTATTCTGTCATCTCCTTGTGGCCATTTCTTTGAAGGTCAGACCACATATCTTTGAATCGTATCCGCCCACGCAAAGTTTGCTGTGATTGGTTGCTGAGTTAGTCTTTGTTCTTGTTTTCTTCTCATAACCAAGATTTGGGACGTTAGCATTGACGTGAATTGCTGTCTACCAATTTTGGCTAGCAGATAGAGCTCACCACAACTGCATTGTTTACTTTCATTTCTTTTGAGCTCTCACTGGAGTATACGGCTTAAAATTTGAGCTTTGAAGTCCCAGTGGCAGTGGATTTTTTACGGAGGGGGATACCGACCTAACACTCAAGCTTCCCTCTTTGTTGGTTTACAACCGGCTGCAGGATGGAAGATCAACTTGCTCTCCGGGAATCGGAACACGTGCATCGTTGGCGAGCACTCTACCGCTGAACCACCAACGTACACACCATGTTACTATGCATTCTATTTATATTCCACTTCTTAAATTACTATTCTACAACATCAAGAAAGACCAGTTAACTACTAGATGAATTCTAGCTTCAAGACTTATCAAGGATTGATATTAGTTAGATAACCATTGGTCAACCCAGTGCAGTCATGAGTGACTACTGATGATTGATTCGCAAGCTAGGAAGAAACAGCTGTCCAGTACTCTCTGATGCTTTTCAATGGTTAGTTCTCTAACTGATAACAGTCAGTGATTAAACTTGAAAGCAATCAAATCCCTATGAACGAACACTTAAGGAATTCTAGTTTCATTCAGGAGTACTTCTTCTGCGTTCTATCTCCCGTGTTAAGTAGTATAATATGGACAGTAATATTGAAGTTAGTCGTAGAGGGTTAGATAAGGAGGGTGAACCAATCGCAATAAGGTTGTAAAGCCACATCAATTGAGATGGCTAGGAAACGTGTTGTGTAAGCGAAGACGTCGCGCTCCACGATGGACAATGTTAGCCGATGTCGGAATACGACGTTGGCGAAAAGTTATAGATGGTCAGCTCAAAACATGGAATCAGTCCATGAAATCTTTAATAGTTAGTTTGCACCACGTGGGGAGGTGCAGACTGCCTGCATGGTTGGGTTCCTTTCGATACTAAGAACCAGTAGCTAGAGACTATTACTGATATGGCTCAAAATCGTTCTCAGTAGCACAGATGCATTCACTCACTGTGATGTCCGATATCTATTGAGTGTCGCTATTCATTCTCCCTCACATTTCTACTGATTATAGTACTTTTCAGCATTTCGCATTCGGATAAAAGAGAGATGAAAAATATCCAGTTACCAGGGCAAAGAAAGACTGATAACCGATTCTTTCTGAACGCATAACTCAGGTTTCAGGCGCTTGATGGAAATGGCTTCAGCAAACTTAAGGAGAATTGAGCTATTTTGCTTATTGATAATTTCGAACGACTTTTCGACGTCCACCTCATAACCCGTGTCGAGGAGATGCCTGGCGATGGCACTGTTTAAAGCATTTGTTCCCTTTAGACGTAAGCTTTTTGGTACAAGTTCAGAAAATCGTAGATATGCCCTTCTTTCTGTTCTTCCAATGTAACTGCTCACGCAGATACATGTAAATTTGTATATACAGTTGGAGTTAACATGAGAAGGACATCCTTCGATTTTTGATTGAACCAAAGAGCAAGTTGTTCGATAGATGGGAACGAGGTTAGCTGCAGGATAGGCTATGGCTAGTGATGTGCTCAGCCTTCAATGTTTTCACCTTTATAATCAAGCTGAAAGTAGATTGGCTTTTTTCCTACTGTGATTTGTTTTACAATTGTAACTTCAGATCTTCCATACTCGTTGATGAACTTTTGGACCTCGTTTTCTTCTCTTTGTTTTATCTACGTTTGTATGCATGGATCTACATGGATCATGGCAACTTGAACTGGTGCACTTCTATGCTAAGTTCTATGATGACACCCAGTTAGTCAGTCAATTAGTCACGTTATTTTATTTCACCTAAAGTGCGACGATGTACGTACACGCTTATTTCTGCAGGAACAGATACCCACCCAGCCATCAGGAGTAACCGTAAAACATACACTTTAAAACAAAATAACTTATGAATTCAATTTACAATAAAAATTAAAAAATAAATAAATAAAAAGGTAATCTATCAAAAGTAATAGTGTTAGAGAAACCCATGATTTTAGATTTTTCATTATCTTCTTAAACAAAGAGGACCAGCAAATGAGAAGGAACTCAACGCAAAATAACTAAAAAATAGCGAAAAGCAACTCGCCAACCATCAACCACTAGTGTAAAATGTCAAAATAAAATAAAATGAACAAGAAGCAATTCATTTTGAAACTCTTTTCAATGATAAACGACGATTAGATGGTTGTAATGAGTTGAAGGATGTTTTTGGTGTCGGTGGTGTTGACATTGCTTGAGGTGTTGTACGCGCTTGACGACGTTGACGAGTTTTCACGAGATCTGCTATACTCAAATCGGAACTATCAAATGAATCATTTTCAAATTGTGAACTTGAAAACATCTGGGAATCATTTAGATTGAAAGATGATTGTAATTTAAAAGAATTGGAGGGAGATATCTATTGTGAAACAGAAGAGAGAATAAAAAACAAAAACAAAAAAATCATGATATGGTTTGGTCAGAAGATAAGTGCAATCAACAGTATGCTTAAGTTATTTTCGTAATTGCCGTTGATTGACTGTATCGGACTGAAATACTCGCTTCTTGATGACATACCGGCTCCTAATACGGATACTTCGAAGACTTCCTGAGATGGACATGATGTTAGCTGTTTTTTGGTGACTAAAAGTGAAATCCAGGACGAGCATTTTGTCCTATTGGGGACCCGTTATGAAACCCCACATAACACGTACCATTCCATTATAACCAGTCGCAGGTGGCATTGATTTCAACAAAACTAAGGATGGTCACACCAATTTATGTATATTAAGATGAAGCTTATTACTCTACGGAAGGGGAAGGAGAGAGAGATATGGTAAACTTCTACTGGCCTGTGAAATACTACACCAGTTCTTCTTACAACACTAAAACACTCAGTAAAAGTCACAGTTATTGATATGAAGGCGATCTTTTAACATGTATCACACATTGATCCGTTTTTCATCCAAATATTCACTTAAAGAATTTTTTAAATCTTTAGTCTAACTCAACAGTTCATACATTCAGTCATGATTAACAGTTCTAGTCACGTCATAACCTGAAGGTACTGGGTTAGATCCTTGTGGTGGGGTTATATATACGTGCATAATATGGAAGAGTCCGAAACAAGGACGAAACAGTTGTCCATTACTTCCTGATGACAACTTGTGATCTAACTTCAAGATTGATCAAATTCCTAGAAACCAACACGTGGAAACAGCTCTAGTAGCTTAAATTATTCACCTCCCTGAATTAAATTTGTCTCAGTACAGGACACAACCAAGCTCAAGTCGTCCAGGTTTCGCAACCGAACAAGCTGAAGACTAGTAAACAGTATAAGTACTTTCCAAATATTCATTCAGTGATATATCGGAGAACTTGTGTGTCAATTTTCTTTACAAAATCAATGCTATGGATGTCACACATACACAGTGTTTTGAACACACTTGTTTATGTAAGATAACTTCGGAAAACCGCATCATTCTCATCTAGAATTGCTTATTATTTAATAATCCGTTTTTTAAAAGCCATACAAAATGGAATGAGAAGTAAAATAACAGTGATAAATCAAACGGCTCACTAAGATGACCAAGTTTCAGTAAACATATAACCTAAATATGTATGTATTCATAAATTCAACTGCTCGTTGTGAAAACAATTAGGTGAGGTGGGTAGAACAACTCAGAAAGGCTACCATCACCTTCTTAAGCATCGTCCAAGTTAGTTGGGAAAAGGATTTGTAAGGTCTAAACTACAAGGAGTTCCATAGTAGTGCACACTTAGTGAATAGGGAAAGCGCAAGCTAGATAAAAATTATACCGTTCTACCCAAGGTGTCACTATAATTCTCTCGGCTTTAATGCCATCCGTCAAATGATAACTAAAGATGAATCCGTCACCATCAGAAATTTTCAGCCCACACTATGTGTGGTTCACTCCCTACCCACCCAATCAAAAATGGTTTTCTCTTCCAGTGACAACGGATAATATTATCTTCACTTGTACTGTTACCATTATCATACTGTATAAACAATTGTATATTTTAGCCTTCATCTCAAAGCTTATCATGAAACCAAAACACTCTATTATTTAATCACTGTAAGACGATAGTCATCATGCCTTCCTACACCTATAAACATACACATTCAACTTAGTATGTTCACAATGACCAATTGCCTAGGTCATATAATAATAATAATATGCTTTATTCCAAAACAGTACTTGTGATACAGAATGGAATTCTCAGCATTTTTACTACAGTATTGCATCCAGTTAGTACATTATCAATAAATAGAATTCTACATAGATTGAGGAAACCACAGTTCATTATTACAACAATACATTGGCATGTCATTAGCAAAGGTAAAGCTGAAACAGTGTTTGAAGGTGTTAGAAAAGTGGGAGCTGTCTTATTAACTGGCGTAAGCAAGAGAAAGAGACAAGCAGCACATAATGGAAAAAGAAGAGAGAGAAAAGGAAAAGAAAGAAGGAAAATGTTGTACCTGTTGATGATGTGGGTTGGAAAGACGAGATCCAGTTGTACTACTGACTATTTAATGAATTATAGGTGTCACACCTAATGCTTTATTTATCACACAGAACACGAGCTAAGTAGGGTATGGTTGAGTTTTTGTACTTGCTGGTGCGAGCATATAGTTTTCTATATTGGCTTCTGGTTTTACCTGATGAGATGCAAAGGGAGAGTTGTGAGTGAAGAGGGTGGTGTGAGTTAGATAAAATGGATTTGGCCCATTTTTCACATGAGTCCATGTGCCTGTCGACCAGAATATTAACACACTTTCATGAATTTATTATTCTTATTATTATGTAATTATGGTAATTATAACGACAATTAGTGATGCAAGAACAACATTTTGGGCGGAGTAAGATGGTACCATCATTCGTTTCATTGGCTTCTCATCATCTGCGTATAGCCTGCGACAGACGAAACAACTTCTTATTGTCGATAAGTTGGTAACATACTTGTAGTATACGACAATGGAAGTCAAGCTTCTTACCTACTTGCATTATTCAGTAACGTACATACAAATATTGGATTTGGTGTGGAATACGACAATGATGGAACATCGTCATATAACGCCTGGAAGATGGTAGTCTCTAGAGATCAATTTATCGAAGGCCTACATGGAGCGGACAATACTTACATTTTAATAGTTATTGTTCAAATAGCTATTAAACGAGTACTAGTCAAAACTCTGTTTTTTAGAGGTAAGGGGATGTGCTCTACAGAAAAATCAGAGGAATAAATTCTGATTCTCGAAAAGATGTTGAAAAGCAACGCCTAACCTCAGGAATTTACCAACAAGTGCGGAAGGTGTGGAGATTAAAATGCCAAACAAATCACAGTGGGGAAGAAGTTTATCTTCATTCAATTCTTTTTTAAAGATGATAGTGTTGCAAGAGTAGTTAACAGAAGATTGAATACCTCAATAACCAGAGCCTATCCTGCAGCTAATTTGGTCCCCGTTTATCGGACAATTCGCTCTTCAGTGCAATCAAAAGTCACCTCTAATTGCATATACAAATTTACATATATCCGCGGAAGCAGTTATATTGGGAGAACAGAAAGAAGGGCATACCTTCGAGTTTCTGAACATGTACCAAAAAGCCTAAATCTCAGGCGAACACACGTTTACAGAAGTGTCATTACCAGATATCTTATTATTAATACGGATCATGAGGTGAACTTATCAATAGACGAAATACTTCAATTCTCTTCAAATGTACCGGAGCAGTTGCGATCAAATGCCTAAAAACCCAATCTATACGTTCATAAAAAAGTAGTTATCAGTCTTTCCTTAGCCTGGCAAATGGATGTCTTTATTCTCTCTATCATTTGATTGCGCAATTTTTGGCTTTAACCTCTCCCACACCCTTTGATGCAGTGTAAATGCTTGTGTCTTGTTCCTATGATCTCAGTTGGAATCAATATATTGTTACTCAATTTATTACTCACTTGCTATTGCATGCGAACAGTTATTTCGGCCTAAACTTGAACTCTCTAGGCATAAACTAAATAAGTGTAATTTTTCGAGCACTGTTTATTAAGTTTAGAGTATCCTGTCAACTGATATCATCTAACATTTACAAATAGCTTAAAAACTGTTCTGTACATAAACTTAACAATTTCTTCAGGCTGTACGCAGCTGATGAGAAGCCAGAGAAATAAACAATGGTGCGTCGGTAGCACAGCATTTAGGACGCTCGCCGACCATGCACATGGTCCGGAGTTCGATCCCCGGCCGACGCACTCCTTTATCTCGCTAAGCCAGAAATAATGCTGGTAAAGAGGAAAGGTTGGGCATGAGGCTAAAAATAAACACTGCTACTGAAACTTCAACCCTCTAGCTTGAAGCCCTATGTCCCACTGGGAACGTGAAGGAATTAAAAAAAGCACCATCTTGCTGTGCACAAAAATGTCACTGCTTTATTCAAATACATAAAGAGGGTATATCACTGTATCAGATTTATGATTGATAATTTTATTGCGTAATTGTAAATTCGGATGAGAAATGACAAGAAATAACTATATATTAGAGAGAAAAGAACAGGAGGATGAGGCACTAGTTCTATCAAGAGCGCCATAATTGAACACCTCGTCAACAACACCTGCCACAGCATCTCAACCGACTCATCATTCGGCGTCATTTATAAAGTAAACAAAAATCTACTAGAGGCAGTGAGCCCTCTCCATATGCACCGAAAAACCGGAGCTGTGTGTACAAAAGAAACTGATTCAACCCCTACATTTAACATGGATCTAGTTCATTTTGTTTCCTTTGATCCCGTTTTTTCATCCCTCTGATTCCCCCCTTTTCAGTTTCAAAATATTATTCCATCAACTTGTTACCATGCTCATCCTATTTACACCTTTAGTTGTTAAAACAAAAACTATTTTCTAATCCTATGTGATCTTGTCTCTAAGCCCCCTAGTAATCTACATTCAGGCCTTCAAACTTTCATGTCAAGTTGAAAATTATTATGACCTTTAATCTCCTTCGTTACTATGTGGAATTAAATAAATCATAATTGTATCTATGTAAACTTATGCATATAAATGCGATTGTACAAGTGTTTTTTTTTGAGAATGAAATCGCCGAAAAGATTTCCTTGCTGAACTTCCTGTTCTCTCCTCTATAATGTCCTGATGGGTATTTTCCACGATCTAAATAATTATATGCTTAAATTGTGTCAATCAGACCGTCTTATTGAATTATAACACACACACACACACACACTGACACGATATTAATAACTGGACGGCATTTTAAGCTCAGTTTATTGTCTCGAATCATATCAATATAACCTCATACGACTTCTTAACTTGCCTTGAATAGACTTACTCCCCTTCGGCTGTTTCTCATTGCAACTTTCCACACATCCGGGGTAGTAGGTGTCGTTTTAAATTTTATTTTTTATTCCTTTACGTTCCTAGTGGAACATAGGGCTGAAAGATAGAAGTTTGAAGTTTCGGCAGCAATAGTGTTTATTTTTACAGGATGGGATTGCTAGCCAGCCTCATGCCCAACCTTCCCTCTTTACCAGTCTTATTGCCGGATTTGTGGAGTAAAGGAGTGTGTCGGCCAGGAATCGAACCCCGAACCACCTGCGGGGTTGACGAGCATTCTACGGCTGTGTCACTGCCGCACCGACGGGGTAGTAGGTATTGCATCATTTCAATTGCTCGTGTTTACTGTTGATTCGATGAACAAAGATTCAGTGATTAACCCCCACCCCTCTCTCTTTCTCCAATCAAATTCGTGATTCGCTAATTGATATACGATTTTACAATTTACGCAGTTTGAGGAGGTGAAATTTCCCCACAGCTTGCTTCGGAGATCGAAATTATTTGGATCACAATATTGGATATGTTTGACATCATCCATTGCAGTCAAGAAAGTATGCCTAAATGAATGGTGATATTAACTACAGATTCATTGGTAATGAGTATACAGCGTCAAGCATCTATGCTTGCCTTCTTGATTCACATTTACGGTATTCAGGAGGCCACATTTCGGGGATCTAAATAATTTTGGTTTCCAGAAACTGGATGATTTGTATTGATTCTGCATTCAGAGCAAGTCAATTCAGGTATACTTCTAAAGGAACGGGAGAAATGGCCGTCCGGTGTTTAGATCACTCTGATCTGGTTGGCGGCAAGCACTGCTGGTTGATGTGAAATTGTTGTCAGCTACTCATGTCATTCAATTGGTAGTACAGAGCTCTCTCTCTTCATTTGCCCATAAGGATATCACTTGCAATACTTTCCTTCTATCCAGTTATTAATGCTGTATCACTGTGTGTTATAATCGAATAAACTTACCTAATATGGGGATTATATTCTACCACAATGCGTGCGTCGGTGGCATAGCGGTTAGGACGCTCGCCGACCATGCACATGGTCTGGGGTTCGATCCCTGGCCGGCGCACTCCTTTACCTCACTAAGCCAGAAATAAAGCTGGTGAAGGGGAAAGGTTGGGCGTGAGGCTAGCAACCTCATCCTGTAAAACTAAACACTGCTACCGAAACTTCAAGACTCTAGCTTGAAGCCCTATGTTCCACTGGGGAAAGTGAAGGAATAAAAAAAAAATTCTGCCACAATGCACTAATTCCTGCTCTTACATTCATAATAGGGATATTCAAATTATTATTATTACTATGGTTAAAATATTCTAATCGATGAAATACACTTACGTCTTTATCTTCTGAATCTGAAGGACTCAAAATATCCTTAGGCGATGGGATTGACACTAAATTCTCCTTACCATCTGGATTTTCATCTTTATTATTATTATTATTGTCACTAGGCTGTGAACTACGGCAACGTTTAGCTTTTGGTTCAGGTGTAAAGCATAAATCATCAACAGCAATAGGCATTGAAGGAATACTTGGAGGCGGTGATTTTGTGACTTGAACACTTTCACATTGTTTATCATCATCGTTGACAGTCTTTTTATCTGGCACAGTTGTTGCTGATATGGATGATAGAGAATTTGATGGGGTAACCAAGCTTGAACGAGAACGTGTCTTCCGTGAAAGTCCTGTACGTGATGCACTTCGATTTGGCAGAGTTCGAACGTAGGGACTCTAAAATAAAATAGGTAGTAAATATTCAAGCGATTATGGTAGGAGAAATGCTTTACAAACATTGAATATTGGTTATGTGTTGAAGATAAACGCAGAGACCTATGACTTGCTTTGTGACTAACAACATAATTTTAGGCTCTTTTATTTCTCTCTTATCTTGTATTCTATAGTGAACTCCCTCTCAAACATACTTAGCTACCTAAATTATTAACATTGGCTTCCTTTTTTGTACTTTACTATATTCCTTCTATTGTGTATTCACTGGTTCCGACTCTTTTAGCACTATGAGTATTACAAAATTGTCCTGTCATTAACCATCATGTAATTATTAGTTTTGTGATTGTTTTTTCTTATTTTCTATACTTTTCGGCAATATTAAACTGAAAATCATTGGTTGTGAACGCCATAGTCACCACCTTGAAAAATTTTGTATTATTCACGATTACTCACACTACCACTACAAACACTCCACTAGACCTGACAATAAAAAACAAAACAACAACCCTGAAATGTTATTTTATGATTGTTTAGAGTTGTTTCAACCTAATAAACTGACCATCTTGGCGATAAACATTCTTAAATATCATTTCATAACTTCTTGTATGACTATAGCTTTACTGTCACTATGCATAATCATATCATAGCTTCCACTACCCAATACTGAGTTATTATTATATGATGTTTATTTTCCTTTCTACTTCTTGGTACTTTTTCGCATTTAAAACTATTTTGTGTTTATCTGTTTTTTTTCTGTTGGTGTCTTTAGATTTATTTTTTTTTGTTTGTTTAATACTCCTTTTAAATTTTTGTAAAATTAGATGCAAATATTGTAGATATGTGCTGAAAATTCCACACTGTACCACTAGTACTGTTTCTGGAATAAAGCAAATTATTATTATTTAAAAAAAAATACTGGTTCACGAAATACACAGTCATTGCCTTAATCATGTGAGAGACGTAACTGAGAAACTGAGTAAAGATATTGGACAGAAATATCACACACACACAACCTGGTAGCCAAAACTTCTCACTAGAACTCGAGGAGTGATGTAGCTTCAGTTGATTTAAACACTTAAGTTTCAACTGATGGGGTTTTGCTTCCGAAACCAGCCCCATATTTCATCTTGGGCGACTGGATAATAACAGTAACACTTACACAATAAGTTTCACTAATCGTGCAGTGTATGAAAAGCTTGTCCCACGTAAGTCGGTCCGAACAACAAGAACAATATACAAACCGATAACTCCAACTCAGTGGTGGCAACCAGTAAGTAGTGGATTAATTTTCAATTCATTGACACTATTCATTATTCTTTTTTTCCTTTTTTTTCTTCACGTTCCTCAGTGGAACATAGAGCTTCAAGCTAGTGGCTTGAAGTTTCTGTAGCAGTGCCTATTTTACAGGATGGGATTGCTAGCCTCATACCCAACCTTACCTCTTCACCAGCATTATTTCTGGCTTAGCGAGGTAAAGGAGTGCGTCTGTGCCCGGGGATCGAACCTCGGACCATGTGCATGGCAGGCGAGCGTTTACTTAATGACGCTGATTCTGAATCGGATTGTTTTCATAAAAAATCGACTTAGTCATAATACGAAGCAAAACAAGAAAATTCAAGAAAAGAATTTTATCCTAATTGGAGACCTATCAGCTGGATTCACAGATATTCTAGTTAAGTGTTACTTCATGAGTATCTACGGACGGAGGCCACTTACCAACAGCAATTGGTTGACTAGTTTCATTCCTGTAAATCACTAATACGGACTTCAATTAATAATACAACAATCTTGAATTAGTTGTGTTCTCTGAGCTGGTTGAATTAATTAAGGAGCTTTCATCGTCCTCCTAGACAATATCTTCAGAGCAGGTTTTAGTCCAAAATGAATTAATTTGAATTCTCCATGAATGATGGTATACTTGTATCTACTGGCAAATAATGTCATGACTGATTGTTGATTTACGTCTCTATTCCAATAAAAGTGATCAATACTATCCACCTGAGCTACGCCACTGAGAACGATTTTGAGTCATATCACCAATAGTCTTCAGTCAGTGGTTCATAAGCATTCAGAAGATCCCAACCAGGCAGGCATTCTACACCTCCCTATCTGGTTCAAACTAACTGTTAAAGATTTCATGGGGTGGTTCAAAGTTTTGTTTTAGTCACCACCAACAGCTGGACTTTTAGAGACAGCATTAAAATCAAGAATAAAGTTGAATACACAAGAGCAAAGAATTTCATATGAATTTAGGCTATATTAATAATCTAAACTCTACTCCATTTCAAATATTCTGTTTACAGCATCGGTGGGCTTTTCTTTCAAATAGTTAATTCTTGAACCTAAAAAACTTCAAAAGCCATATCATAACTTTTAGAATGAACTTTTATATTCCAAGAAATATTTCACCATAAAATAAACAACCATCTGTAGTTTAGATAGAGAAGCTTTAATTAAAATTCAGGTAATATTTTTCCAAACATTCTACAATATATGTATAAGTCAATTTTACGTTTCCCGTTGATTTATTATGTTGGACTTATATTGTGGCGTGTGCTACTGATCCTTTTTATCAGTGGTCTATATATATATATATATATATATATATATATATATATATATATGAAGAGATGTTCATCGGCATAAAAACATCAAATAGCAGTGATATAAATTTGATGTCAGAGAGAGCGAATGATACAGCCTTTTAGAGAGATATGGGAGACGTGAAAGGAACTACAAAGAAACATAATAGTAAGGAAGGGCAGAAGTATCAGGCACAACACGGAATATCTGTGCAAATGGTACTGCGTTGAAGATAAGCTGTACTCATAATTTGGCTATATAGAGATGCCAAATTGCAAAGAAACATTCCTTTACCAAATCTTCGTCTTCTACTGTTACAATATGTATAGTCTATTTCGGCATGTCGGCGCTCCTAGTGCGAATGCTTCGATGCCATATGAAGATTAAAATGGTGTTATTTTGGTTGACTGTGAAGTAATTTGGGAAGTATTGCAACGCTATGAGGTGGTCAAAAACTTCATCAGCCTCATTAAACAGTTATATGACGACAATGTCACATTTCAAGTGATCCACAACGGAAAACTCAGCGAAGACTTTGAAGTGAACACAGGAGTGAGACCATGAATAACGCCTACTATCACCGGTGATATTCCAAACTGTAGTGCTTCAGATTATGCGGAAGGCTGTAGCGAGCGAAAAGACAGGAATACATTGAGCTAATAAAAAGATTCTACAGGATCTGGATTTCGTGGATGATTTAAGTCTATTGACACACAAACTCGAAGACTCACACAAGCGAAAACCAACAATTTGGGAGGAGAGGCTGGTAGAAAAGACAAGACTTCAAGTGAAAATAGAGAAGACGGAGGTGATGACGATAACCAACCAACAACAACAACAAAAAGTTCCAGTCACTATCAACGGGAGAAAATTGAAAGACGTCACTTCTTCCACTTATTTGGGTTGCATCATTTCAACAACTGGCAGTCGGCACCGATAAGGACGTCAAGACCAGAAAAGGAAAGGCAAGAAAGACATTTATCACTCTGAAATCGGTTGGGAAATCTGCCTCAGTCAGCATAGACAACAAAATTCAGATTTTCAGCAGCATTGTGAAGTCAGCTCTTCTATAAAGGTCATAAACTTTGCAAGTAACGAAGAGCATTTCCGACAGCTTGCAACTGACTTCTATCAACAGCTGCCTTCGCTGGCTCCATACTGAAGATCAAATGGCCAGACACAAAGAATAAGCAACAAGCAACTCTGAGAACGAACCAATCAAAAGCCTATTGCTCAATAAATATCCCGAAGAAAATACAGATGTATCCGACACATACCGGAAAAACCTTCGGGTGACACCATGCGACAGACCCGGAATGGGAAACAACGAGTTGGGTGTCCGAGAGTGACATGGGTGGGAGAGAGTGAGGAGACAAAAGTTTATGGGCGATCGTGGGACCAGCTGAAAGGCAGTACAGAGAACAGGACAAACTGGAAATGTGCTTTCGAAGCCCTATGTTTCACTCGAAACCCAAGGGAATAATAATGCGTAATTGGAGATGTTGCTCATATCTTTACCCTTCGACAGATTCTAGAGCATAGACATTCGAACCGGCGTCCGACAATCATTATATTTCTTGACCTAAAGGCGTCATTCGATTCTGTCGACCGAGAGGTTCTCTGGGGATGCTTGGCTGTAAAGCGAATGCCGAGGAAATACATTGCACTAATTTAGGCACTCTACTCGTACTCATGCAGTCAGGTGAGGGCTTACGGCGAGTTGTCATCTAAAGTGGTGACGACTAGTGGCGTCCGTCAAGGATGCCCATTATCCCCATTTCTATTCAACTTCACCATAGATGTACTAATGGACTTAACTCTAACTCACTTCAGCGACTCAGGGATTAACTTGGTACCAGGGAATAATCTCGTTGACTTAGAATATGCAGACGATATAGTCCTTCTAGACAAGGACGCTGAAAAATTGCAGAGTCTACTGAACACCTTGAGCTTCAATCTACGAATGTTTGGCATGCGATTCGCTCCCGCCAAATGCAAGATGATGTTAGACGATTGGACTACACTGACTCCTAGATTAGAAATAGGAAGTGAAGTGGTAGAGCACGTTGACCGCTACACTTACTTCAGAAGTACCATTAGCCTGCGCCAACGGGTTGATCTCAGACGAAATCTCAGCACGAATACAGAGGGCTAGTTACGCATATGCCAGTTTACGCCGTCTCTGGCGTAGACGTGATATCCAACTATCGACCAAAGGGCATGTGTACTGCTCAACAGTCCGCTCTGTCCTCCCTTATGGCTGTGAAGACTGGCCATTGAGAGTGGAAGACATGAAAATATTAGCTGTCTTTGATCGTAGGTGCCTACGTTCTATCTACCGCGTGAAGTGGTATGATAAGGTGAGCAATACTGAGGTTAGGCGTCGATTGTTAGGTAAGGTGGGGAAATCAATCGACGAGGCTGTGGAATTACATCGGCTGAGATGGTTAGGGCATGTGTTACGAATGAATGCCTAGTCATCGCCTTCCTCGACGAGCAATGTTAGCTGATATAGGGCCAGGCTGGAAAAGAGCTAGCGGCGCTCAAACTAAAACGTGGCACCAGTCAATGAAATCTACAACAGTTAGTCTAAGTCACGTAGGGAGATGTAGACTTCCTGGTTGGGGTCCTCGGGACGGTAAAAACCAATGGTTGGAAACAATTGGTGACATGGCTCAAAATCGTTCTCAATGGCTGGTGCAGATGCACCTACTCCTTGTGACTTATGATTTCCAATGAAACTGTTTCGTTCTTCATTATTACTATTCCTTTGTCTCACACCTCTGTTTACTGTCTATATTATGCATTTCTCCTGCTTTCTTCTCTTCATTTGTGTGCTACGTGGAGTGTGGCGACTTGAACTGCCGCACATATGTGCAAAATTCTATGTCGAAAACCGACCGACCGGCTCAAATAGTTTGGGCATTAGGTTTTTAAATAATGGTTCTCGGGTTCGAGTTCCACTCTACCTACTTCAATCAAGTATCATCAGTTCTTACACACAAGGTGTAACGCCTAGCCTGGTATGTGAAAGACATGTTACGGGTAATGAAGTTCTAAAAAAAAGAATGTGAAAATGAGAATTCTTATAAGGTTGACTTTCACATAATTGGTCAATCGATGAGGTTGTGAAGCAACATCGATTGAGATGGCTAGGACATGTGTTAGTCATGCCAAGCTACCACATTCCTCGTCAAACAATAACTAACTAATTGACAAACTATTTATTTGGAAAAGAGTTAATAGGGTGGTCAAACCAAAAATTTAAGTCAGTCCATAAAAGCCTTTAACAAACAGTTTAACATAGCCATGTAGCAAGCTGTAGATTGCCTGATTGAAGTCCTCAGGATGAGTAAGAATCAGTGGCTGGAGACTATTAGTGATATAGCTCCAAATAGCGCAGATGTATTCACTCTTTGTGAAATCACACATCTTTTAAACCCTCATGTTTTTCAGTGCTACTATTCTTTCTTTGTGAGTTTTCTGATTATTATAGCTCTTTTGAATGTTTTTCTTTCCCTACTTTGTGTGATATATGTAGTATGGCAGTTTGAATTGTTACACCTCTGTGCACGGTTCTTCGTTGAAATCTAGTCAATCTAGCCTATTCCAGAAGCACCTGCATTGACGACAGAACCAAAGTGATTGGTAATAAACAGAGTTTTCTTTGGAAACCGATATTATTCAGGTTACAATGTGTGATATGTTTGGTAGTACATACAGAAATCAAGAAAGCATGAATTAATTAATGACGCTACATACTACTGACTGATTGAAATGAGTAGTTGTATACCACTGAAATCAACCACTAGCGATGTTCTATTATACATAAGATTTTATTTTGATAAAATGTCACAGTGTTACACAGAAATATTAACTGATGATATTGCTAGCACAAACTATTGCCACTCATAATCATATCAAGTTACTCACACAACTTTTTTCCTCATTTATATACATGTGTGGAATCGATTAGATATTTGAATAAAAATCAATATAGGATAATGTACATTCAGAAATAATAATATGAGTGTTATTGATCAAATACAATTAGATGGGAATTAAGACGACCTAAATGATGAAATAAAACAGACAGAAGAGGCGTTAAATAACTATCCTATAAAATTCATTAGGAAGATCAGTAAAGGCCAAAAGCAAAATAAAAATAATTATGAAACTAGTAGTGATAACATAAATAAGAGAGAATATAAGTCATCAACTGTTATACCATATAAGGAGGGGACATCTGAGACCCTACCTGGTAGGATTCTTAATAAAGCAGGAATCAGGCTGGCATTCAAACCTACAAACTCACTCAGGGACAAGTTCTGTATGTTAAAGGACCCTGTTGACCTAATTCGACAAAATAATATAATTTACAAAATACACTGCAACAACTGTGAGTTAGGTCAACTACATAGGTCAGACTAGTAGGTCAGGGATAGTCAGATTGTCGGAACATAAGAATTTAACTAAGGTAAGAATGGTTGATCCCGAGAAGATAAGCAGTTTAGAAAAAAGCTCAGCAATTGCACTACATGCATTAACACACAACCACACAATAGGGTGGGAGAGGGTTAAGATTCTAAAAAGTAATCTGTGTAGGTGGAGAGAGAGAGATTGATTACTGAATCCTGGTTCACTGAGTCTACACCCAACACATGCAATAGAAATGACTCAATGCAAATACCAGAAATATTGAAGACATTATTACTACCAGTCAGTCAAATCAGAAGAGGATAATAAATAATCTCAAAATTCTATTTCAATTCAAGCACATCACAACATTCTAACAAGTTACTTATTTTGACTATAAAAACACTCGTCTTATTTCCCATCTGATTGTAATTGATCAATAACACTCATATTATTATTTCTGAATGTACATTATCCTATATTGATTTTTATTCAAATATCTAGTCAATTCCACTCATGTATATAAATGAAGGAAAAAAGTTGTGTGAGTAACTTGATATGATTATGAGTGGCAATAGTTTGTGCTCGAAACGTGGTCATCAGTTAATATTACTGTGTAACACTGTGTGACACTTTACCAAAATAAAATCTTATCCATAATGGAGTTATACTCTACCACAGTGCCCAAGTTTTATACTGATATATCACTAGCGGTGTTCCGAACTAATTCACTTCTCTGAGTTGAGTCAAACCACGTACACCGCTGATAAGTTCAGCCCAAACGAGTAGAATGCCGGCCATCCGGTGTCACGACCACTTCGATCTGACTAACAAGCACTAGCGGTTGAGGTGTGTGGTAACCAACTACTCATCTCAGTCAATCAGTAGTATGTAGCAGCGAAAAAAATGATACCATCAAGTGCAAATCGAAATCGAGACATAAATTACACACAAATTCATTGTAACATGAGATAACTTAACAAAAAAAAAAGCGGTTTTAATTGACTTACCTTAGTAGTAGAAGTATTTTGTATTGGTGTTTCACAACTTTGTTGTTTCTGTGGTTGAAATTCATTCGTTGGAGTAAATCTTTTAATCGGAGTAAAATTCTAAAACATACGAAAATGACACTGTCTATTAAGATATGCTAAGATATAAGTTCCTCAGAGAGAGAAAAATAAAAGAAGTTTCCAGGGTAAGGCAAATATAAACTGACAACTTCACTCATCAAGCAGGATTAATTAACAAGATTGTACGAAACGACGATACTCAAAAGAGTAACTATATGATATGCATATCCCATTTGTCATCATGTTTATTCCACCACTACATGACATGTGTAGATATGAGATGTAGTAGCCAAGACAACCCGCGGGTTATTCCGAATCTTATGTTCTTAATATTAACATGCGTTGCTTAGAGTGAATTATTTTAAAATCTACTACAGTCGTGGACACTAAACAACGGATGAATTATCACTGGGAATTGTTTTTGCTGCTGACTGAGCTTTGATATAAAACTGCGAATTATTCATTCAACTAGGATTTCTGACTGATATTTTTAACATTGAATTCATTGACAAAATTTTCAAGTATTGGTTTTTGAAGGGATTTTGTTCGACTGGTTGGAGGATTTCATCATGAGCTGAGAGAACCATTGGAAAACCAGCAGGGAGTACTGGACGACTAGCTGTTTCGTCAACCTAGTTTGGGACTCTTCAGTAGTAAGCACCCACCTCAACTGGGTCCGAACCCAGGACCGTCTGGTTACAAGGTCAGCGAGTTTTAGATCATTAGGCCATTGGGGACTTATCCAATGACCAGACCATGAATTCTAACTTCTGCCAATTCATGACATAGCGCAACCACTTCGCAGTATCATAAATTAGCAGATGTTAAAATTCATGGACTGGCCATTGGATCGGATCCCAGTGGGTTAATGATCTACAAACTCGCTGGCCTTGTAACCAGAAGGCCCTGGGTTCGAATCGTGGCAGTATGTGCGTACTGATGAGGAGTCACAAACTAGGTTGAAACAGATGTCCAATACACCCTGATTTTTTAATGGTTCCCTAACTGATATGAGCTCATGATGAAATCCTCCAACCAATCATTGACAAAAAGAAAGCAAATTCACATTTGCAGTTATGATCAGATTTCTTAAAAAACTGGTACAGATTATAGGAAAAATCAAAAAGGCGGTTGTATCGAAGATAATTTTCTTCTCAGTGAAGTCATCAACTAGGTTGTATATTCATGTATTTTTAGTGAATAGGTTAGGAAGTTCCATATCTATTTCCTATCAAGGGGCAAATTAACAAGATCACAGGATAGGGTTTAAAATGTAATAATGAAAAAATAAATAGGAAGATCGGAAAAAAGCATAGTAGGATCATCAGTTATTGAGAAAATTAACTTTTTTTTGCAATTAGCGATTAAAAAGTAGAAATAATAAAATATAAAAGAAGTTCGCATAAAAACATAGTAGTATAAGCAGAGATTAGAAAGACGTAAAGTGCGGTAGAATGCTCGCCAACCACGCCTCTCGTGGTCTGGGGTTCGATCCCCAGCCGACGCACCTGTTTACCTCGCTTAGTCTGTAATAAGACCGGTAAAGACAGGAAATCGGGCATGAGGCTAGCACCACTGCTACTGAAACTTCAAACTTCTACCTTGAAGTCCCATGTTCCCCTGGGAACGTAAAGGAATAAAATTAAAAAAATAAGAAAGGCGTAAAAATAACAGAAAGAAACAGGAAGTTTAAATAAGAAACGTAAAAGGATAATCATTATTGAAAGAAATGACTGTTAATGATTGCCATGGTAAAGACAAAGGTTGGACGCATTTCTTTTGAGTACACAGCGTGGACTTAAACTTTCGGATCACTAGTACTTCCCTCAGCTGTGTCAAGATGCCTTGATCTCACCCCCTTTGAGAGGTTCAATCGAATCTTGTATATGACTTTGAAAGATTTCTCAAATGGAGCTGAATACCCTGAGTTCACCAGCTATTCTGTAACCAAGCTATATACACACCTACGTTCTTCCAGATTGGACAGTGTTCCCAAGTGCATTTTACAAGCGGATGCATAGTTCAGCCAATGTAATCAGCTCCACAAATGCAAGTGAACTAATATATACATATATGTTCACGACGAGTAATCGATGGGTGTGTCGTCCTCGCTTGGGACTATTTATCATTACCCAACCTCCAACCTTATAAGGAATTCCACCCGTGATTGTTAGGTTACGGAGTGGACATTTAGTCCCTGTGTGACAACTCAATAGCACAAGACTTTCATCGTCTGATGTGTTATTTCAGTGTGTAACGCCAATACATTTATCTTGATGTAACACACATACGGATTATGACCAGTCGAATTCCCACAAATCTAACATATGAATATCAATCACGTACTCCAACCTCATAACTTTGAGACGCATTTCTAGTGAGAAAATACGATCGCTAGGATCTACAACGTCCAGTATGAGTACTGTTATTCACTGATGAAAGTGGGTATTCATAAAGCTAGTTGGTAAATTAGGAAAATCAAGAGCTATGAATTACCAACACAGTAGCTTCATACTCATATATTCACTTTAAAAGTTGAAAGTTTTGGATTGAACATCCTACAAGACGGTCTGTAGGAACTTATGAACAGCCCCAAACTATGACAAAACCCATTAAATACATAGTATTTGACTGACTGACTGATTGGTTTCAACGTAGAACTTTGCACCAATGTATAGCAGTTCGAGTTGCCACACTCTGTTATAGCACACAAAGCAAGAGGAGAGGTTAAAGGGAGGTTCAAAAGACAGATAATAAACAGAAGTGTAAGTTAGGGAAAAAGAATAGTAATATGGAAGAACAACAGAATTTTATTGGATATTATAAATCACAAGGAGTGGATGCATCTGCACCAGCTATTGAGAACGATTTTGAGCCATATCATCAATGGTATCCAGCCCCCATCGGTTCTTACCATCCCGAAGACACCAACCAGTCAGGAAGCCTACACCTCCCAACGTGGCTTAAACTAACTGTTGTGGATTTCATTGATTGATACTATGTTTTAGTTTAAATATGATAATAAAACTGTACAGAAAAGTGAGATTGAAAAACAAAACAATATCATTAACTAATAACACCATACTTGTTCTTTCAATGGTAGACCTTGTCTCAGCACCGATTTATTTGGTGATTCACAAACTGATTTCGAAGGCAGTAAGTAATCATCTTCAAGGGGAATAATAGGCCTTTTCGGAGTATTACTGCTTAATGGAGTTGAATGCATACGACCAGACGATGAGCCTCGTAACAAAGCAGATAAACCAATACCTGTAGAATTTGGTGTATTGCTTGTCGAGAATAGTGGAACAGATTTTGTCTGATTTAGAGGGGAATCAGATATCTGAAGATTTGGATTATAGCCTGATTTTGAGCACAAATAGTCTTTGACAACTTGTTGAAGATATGAAACAGTAGCAGGATCCTGAAAACGATCATTAAAAAAGAAGAAAAAAAGCTTCAGTTATTTTAATACATTTGCAAAAATAATCTATATGGATGTTTATATTGTTTCTATAATGATTATTTTAGCCAAGCTTCACTTAGTCGTTAAATGATTGGACTTTATTGTATTGGATACTACGGTAGTCAAGCTGATCCCCCTCGCGGATACCACATGCAGATCTTACCCCTTTCTAACAAACCCGAATGATGAGCTGGCGTGGACACCAGTCCCATTCAAGCTAGGGGAACTTAACAGATCAATTTAGCCCAATCACACAGTTCTGCGTAGCGTCTTATTCAGTGTTTCTACTGTTTTTGCTGAAAAGTTAGTAGACTTCCATTCTTTTTCGAGGTCAATCCCCTAAGTTATTCAAGAATCTGTTTCCTTTGTGCTGATGCCTTTTCCACTTCACTAACTTCCATCACTCACTACTATGCGTGTTTATTATGAAGTCAATGTCTGTCTCTTTAAATTCATCAATTCTGATGGGATTGCCAGAAGTTGGAGATCTTTGTTAATCATTAGTTCTAGGTGATAAACCATCCTCACAGTTGTTTCTACAGCAAATCAATGGTAATCAACTCCTTTACAGTGAGTACCATTGTCGTTGATATAAGAATAGAACTTCGGCACTGTGGTAGTGTATAATTCCATCATAGAGTAAATTTATTTGATAAGATCACACAGCGATACAGTACTGTAACAACAGAAGACAAGGCCCAGGCAACAGATCGTTTATTAAGGAAATCAAAGCATATTTATATATTTTCATGTACATCATTATAGATTAGTTAAGCAAACAAACACAGTCTTCTGATTGGTTGTTTCTCACTTAAAGTTAATCTTTCATCTATTTGTGACTGTTTCTTGAATGTCAAATCATCTATATGTTCACTGTATCCGCCTACGCAAAGTCTGACGTGATTGGTTGTTGAATCAGTCTTTGTTCATATTTTCTCACGACAAATCTTGAGAACGTAAACATTGACGTAAATTACTGTCTACCAACTTTGGCTAGTAGACAGCTTTCTCACCACAGTACTACTTACTTCATGACATTTCGACAACAATTTATGATGATCATGATCAGACTCACATAACTTCAAAACTTCGTTTATAAGGTTCCATTATTTCTTATCCTTTGATTTGATTGGTAGTAATATTTTGGTACTGGTAATGAATCACCCCTATTGCATGTTTTAGGTGTAGAATTGATCAACAAAGATTCAGTAATCGTCCACTCTTTCCACCTATTTTATATTACTCCTTAGAACCGTAACTCTGTTTCACTATATAGTGTGACTGTGTGTTAATGCATGCATTGCAATTACTGATTGTTTTTGTTTTTTTGTTCTAAATTACTCATCTTCGCGGGGTAAATCATTCTACACGCAGCTTAATTCTTATTTTCCCTAGTCTGCCTATCCCAGATAACTGTCATAAGTGTTTAGTCAAAGGTTACTATTTCAATATAGAAAGTCCGGATAAATGGGCTTGGCTAATGCTCACTTATAGGTTGAAGGATTTCATCATGAGCTGATATCAGTTAGAGAACCATTGGAAAACCAGCAGGGAGTACAGGACAGCTGTTTCATCCTAGTTTGCGACTCTTCATCGGTACACAACCCCCACCACGGGGTTCGGAACCCACGACCTGCTGGTTACAAGGCTAGTGAACTAGCTCGTAGACCATTAAGCCACTCACTGGGACCCGATCCGATGGCCAGCTCATGAATTCTAACTTCTGCCGATTCACGACATAGGGCGACCACTTCGCAGTCTTCTTCGATGAGTTACTGACTCATCTTCAACCTGCTGTAATCTACTGGTTACGGCTTCCCACTAGAACCCCAGGTAACTGCCTGAATAAGGCCAATCGCTAGTGAGCATCAGGTCAATTTTCAGGTTTTGGTTAGTTGGGATTTTGTTTCATTGGTTGGAAGAATTCATCATGAGCTGACATCGGTTAGAGAACTAGTGGCTTAATGGTCTACGAGCTAGCTCGCCCTGTAACCAGAAAGTCCTGGGTTCGAGCCCTGGCGGTGGGCGCGTACTGATGAAGAGTCCCTGACTAGATTGATGAAACAGCTGTTGAACTTCCTAGTGGTTTCCCAGTGGTTCTCTAACTGATGTCAGCTCATGATGAAATCCTCCAGCCAATGAAATAAAATCCCTACAAACCAATACTTGGAAATCAATACTTGCTTATTTTACATCCAATCGGTTTCAAACACATGAATGCACGAATTAAATCACGGTTGGTGACCATATATACACTTGAGAAAGAGTGTAAATCATTCCTCGATCCACTCTATCTATCAGTGACCTAAAGTAAAATGATTTGTCTGGCTTGATAATGGCAGCAGTCCCTGGGGTGTGAAGCAATGTTCCTTTACTTATGTTTTGATTTAGAGTGAGCTAATAAGAAACACGTGATTTTCCGAACAAAACACCAAAACACAAACACCATTTCCAGTTCATGGACACAAAATAGTATACATATCTCCAGTGTGGTTCGCCTATCCGATGAGTTTCTATACTTGAGTATTAAAATCATCTACCAATATGACTACACCTAAATGTTTTGCTTTTTGCAGGAGAATGAACTACTTCTCCTGTAATTACTTATCTACTTCATTCGACTTTCAGAAACTGGCATTTGACAGTAACAACAGGTAAATAGATATGAACAAGTCGGATATCTAGGATGAAAGCAAAGCTAAGTAGGCAGTCAGTGGAAGCTAAATGTTTGCAAGTCGAATAATGAAGGCTTTCTCCTTCTGTCTGTCTTTCTGTTTTCGACATAGAACTTTGCACATATGTGCGGAAGTTCAAGTCGCCACACTCCATGTAGCACACAAAGCAGAAGAAGAAATGCATAATATAGACAGTAAATAGAGGTGTGAGACAAAGGAATAGTAGTAACGAAGAACAAAACAGTTTCATTGGAAATCATAAGTCACAAGAAGTGGATGCATCTGCGCCATTGACAACGACTTTGAGCCATGTCACCAATTGTCTCCAACCATTGGTTTTTACCGTCCCGAGGACCCCAACCAGTCAGGAAGTCTACACCTTCCTACACGGCCTAGACTAACTGTCGTGGATTTCATTGACTGGTGCCATGTTTTGATTTGACCGCCGCTAGCTCTTTTCCAGCCTGGCCCTATACCAGCTAACATTGCCCGTCGAGGAAGGTGATAACTAGGCGTACGCAGCATATGTCCTAACCACCTCAGTCAATGTAATTTCACAGCCTCGTCGATTGATTTCCCCTCCTTACCTAGCAATCGACGCCTAACCTCAGTATTGCTCACCTTATTATACCACTTCACGCGGGAGATAGAACGCAGACACCTATGATCGAACACAGCTAATCTTTTCATGTCTTCTGCTCTTAATGGCCAGGTCTCACAGCCATAAAGGAGGACGGAGCGGACTGTTGAGCAGTACACACGTCCTTTGGTCGATAGTCAGATATCACGTCTACGCCAGAGACGGCGTAAACTGGCGTATGCGAACCTAACCCTCTGTATTCGTGCTGAAATTTCGTCGGAGATCAACCCGTTGGGGCTGATGGTACTTCCCAAGTAAGTGAGGCGGTCAACGTGCTCTACCACTTCACTTCCTACTTCCAATCTAGGGGTCGGTGTAGTCCAATCCTGTAACATCATCTTGCATTTGGCGGGAGCGGATCGCATGCCAAACATACGAAGATTGAAGCTCAAGGTGTTCAGAAGACTCTGCATTTTGTCAGCGTCCTCGCCTAGAAGGACTATATCGTCTGCATATTCTAAGTCAACGAGATTATTCCCTGGTAGCAAGTCAATCCCTGAGTCGCTGAAGTGAGTTGGGGTTAAGTCCATTAGTACATCTATGATGAAGTTGAATAGGAATGGAGATAATGGGCATCCTTGACGGACGCCACTAGTCGTCACCACTTCAGATGACAACTCGCCATAGGCCCTCACCTGGCTGAATGAGTACGAGTAGAGTGCCTTAATCAGTGCAATGTATTTCCTCGGCATTCCCTTTACAGCCTTCAGGTTTTTATATATCAAAACTTTCAAGAAAGTCATCACCCTCCTCTCTCTCTCTCCCTGATACCCAAAGACATGTATTACAATCAGCAACTGATGGTATAAGAGTAAACAGAACTGCCATCCCATATAGGGTATTTGTCTGAACTCTTATCATGCTTCAGCATATGTTACGCTTATCATATTTTCAAATGATTTCTATAACCCTTCCGCGGTTGTTAGTTTTGAAAGATTTCCCTTGGTACATTTAACAATGTGGTCGCTTCAGGTTAAAAAAAAACTTGATATAAGAATAAAACTTGGGCACTGTGGTAGAGTGTGATTCCATTATGGGTAAATTTTATTTTGATAGAGTCTCACAATGTTATACAGTAATATTTACTGATGACGTTTCGAGCACAATTTATTGCTCATAATCATATCAAGGTAATCACACGACTCCCTAAATTCATTTATATAATTCCGTTGTTTTTCACTTGATTTGATTGGTAGTATTATTTTCCATATTTCAGGTATGAGTGATAATTCATTCCTATTGCATGTATTGGGTGTAGATTCTATGATCAAGGATTCAGTAATCAACCTCTCTCTCCACCTACCTAGATTACTTTTTAGAATTTTGACCCTCTCCCACCAGGCTATTGTGTGGTTGTGTGTTAATGCATGCAGTTCTATTGATGAGCTTTTTTCTAAATTACTTATCTTCTCTGGGTCAACCATTCTTACCTTAGCTAAATTCTTATGCTCTGACAATCTGACTACCCCTGAACTACTAGTTTGACCTATGTAGTTGACCTCACAGTCATTGCAGGGTATTTTGTAAATTATATTATTCTCTTTAATTAGGTTCAGCGGGTCTTTTAGCCTACAGAGCTAGTCGTAACTGAGTGAGTTTGTAGGTTTGAATGCCACCCTAATTCCTGCTTTATTTAGAATCCTACGTAGGGTCTCAGATGTCCCCTCTTTATATGGTATAACTGTAGATGACTTATATTCTCTCCTATTTATGTTATTATTACTAGTTTCACAATTCTTTTTATTTTTCTTTTGGCGTTTTTCAATCTTCCTAATGAATTTTAGAGGATAGTTATTTAAAACCAACGCCTCTTCTATCTGTTTTATTCCATCATTTAGGTCTCTTTTTGTGCTACTTAGTGCCATTGCTCGGTTTGTTAAACACTTAACTAAGCCTGCCTTAACAGTTAAAGGATGAGATGAATTAAAGTCTAAATATCTATTAGAATGCGTTGGTTTTCTATAAACACTAGTGTGTAGTTTGCCTTCTTCTATTCGTTTTATTTTACAATCTAACATAGCTAATTCTCCTTGCTCATTTTCGGCTTCAAATGTGAATTTTATTCCCTCCACTAGTGAGTTTATGTGTGTCAAGAAGCTAGAGATATGTTCTGTTTTTAACACTGTGAAAGTGTCATCCACATATCTCCACCATATTTTTGGAGTAGGATTAAACGTATTAAGTGTCATATTTTCCCAGCTATCCATAAATATATCTGCTACGATAGGGGATATTGGTGATCCCATTGCTACACCTTCAGTTTGTCTATATATGTGTGTCTATGTGTGATTACCTTGATATGATTATGAGCAATAAGTTGTGCTCGAGACGTCATCAGTAAATATTACTGTATAACACTGTGAGACTCTATCAAAATAAAATTTACCCATAATAAAAAAACTTGGTATCACGGTGTGTTTTGGTTGATGCTTGATGGTGAGGAATAGTTAACAAGACAACTATGGTAAGATCGAGTCTTCTATCAACCGTCTCCAGCTAAGCAACTACAGTAAAACATGAATCACCAAGAGATAATTCCAGAAAATAGGCAACACTTTTAATGTTATCCATCACAAAACTTACAGTCTCATTAGTTGATGTCATTCGACCGGTACGTCGAATACCAGCTTTCTCAGAGGTAACATTACTTGCAGAAGTATAATTCAAAGTAACAAGAGGGATTGTACGTGTCGGTTGATTCATTCTAGACACAGTATTGATTGTTTGACATCGACGTATTTGTAAGTCAGTGAAAGATAATACCCGACCAACTTGAACAATGTCGGTTAGATGAAGAGTCTAAACAAGACCAGAAAAAAGGCAGAATAATGTGATCAAGGCCCTCAAAGCATCTTCAAGTTTGTGAAATCAAAAAAAAACAACTAATTATAAGAAGTGGATATTTGGATTACAGGTTTAAATAGTCTGACTATAAGCCAATGGGTTCTAAGGTTCATATCGCGCTCCACCTACTCAGAATGCATAGCTGAGGGTGCCTTACAACCAGGTACGTAAAATATTTGTAAAAGTAAAAGCAGAGCTCATATTAAAACTATCTGAACGTGTCATATTTTAAACTATAAGGCGTATACGCCTATTGAATTGATTCGGTTCAACCACCTGAGTCTCATCAGATACACGTCTGATAAACTCATCCACAAACGAGAGTAACTGATGTCTACTGTTCAAACCACTTCCAGTTGGCTAGCGAACGCTACTGGTTGACGTGACTGGCTTCTGATTATTCAAATCAATTAATAGTACATACTATAATGCATTTTTGAATCACCACGAGTTAATGATTTTTTCTTTGATTATTATTATATTATTACTATTCTTTCCTTTTGTTCCTAGAGGAACAAAGGGCTTCAGCCGCACGTCCCCATTGCGTTCGGTTCTCTGCCAACGTTTTCACCTGGCTCCACGTCTGCCATACGTCTGCTCCACATGCTTCACATGACCTCCTCCATGTCACCATCGCACTGACGACCAACTCGCCCCTTCCACTCGAGTGATGGCTTGGTTTGCAATGTCACTCACTTGATGGTTTTCTCAGAGTATGGCCAGTCCACCTGCATTTCTTCCTGCATATTTGTTGCACAATTGGTTCCCGGTTGGTTCGCTCCCATAGATCCCTCCCTGTTGCTGATCTTTTCTGGCCATCTGATCTTGAGTTGTATTGAGCGAAGACAACTGTTGATGAAGTTATGCAGCTTGCTCGAATTGGCCTCCGTGACGCACCAAGTCTCTGATCTATATAGCAGCAGTGACTTCACATTGGAGTTGAAAATCCTGATCCGATTTCTAATGCTGAGTGCTGTTAACCTCCACACACACTTGAGAGAAATGAAAGCTTGTCTTGCTTTGCCTATGCTTGCTTTGATATTTTCGTCAGTTCCACCCGTAGTTGAAACGATGCTTCCCAGGTAGGTAAAGGAGAATGTGTCTTCCAGGTTCCTCCCATTTATGCTGATTTTTGTCTGTTGTTGTTGTTGTTGTTGGTGGTGGTGGTGGTGGTGTTGCCCAGGAATCTTCATCACCTCTGTCTTCTCTATGTTTACCTGAAGTCCTATCTGTCGCCAACTTGTTGCTTTTCGCTTGCATATCTTCCAGTTAGTGGGAAATCAGACATATATCATCGGCGAAGTCCAGATCCTCCAAGATTTTTGTGTGAGTCCATTTTATGCCTGTTTCCTCGCTGCCCACTGTCTATCGCATTATCCAGTATATCGAAATCAGGAAAATCATTGGAGATAGTAGGCAGCCAGCCAGCCTTGTCTTACTCTCGTCTTCACTTCGAAGGATTCCGTAAGTTTCCCGTTGTGGATTACTTGGCACGCAGCATTGTCGCACAACTGTTGGATGAGATGTATAATTGTTGGTGGCACCCCGTAGTGTCGAAGTAGTTGCTAGATCACCTCTCGATCAACGCTGTTTGATAAATTATTATTATTCCTTTGGATTCTGAGTGGAACATAGGGCTTCAACAGAACATCTCCATATTACTAGGTTCTCTGCAGTCTTTCTGAACTGGCTCCACTATTGTTTGTAAGCTCTCACTTCCAACTCACATGATCTCTTCCATGTCACTCTCAGACACCCAAACCACTGCTTCTCACTCGCGTTTCACTCGACAGTCTGGCGTGTGATTTTACTTTAATGTCTCCTCAGCATAAGTGCAATCCATCTTGATTTCCTTCTACATGCTTTTTCAGTGATAGGCTCTTGGTTAGATTGTTGCCTGCCAGAGATCATTGTTGCTTATCACTGCTGGCCATCTGATCTTCAGTATAGAGACAGCAAAGGTACCTGTTGATGAAAGTCTCCTGTAGCCACTTGAAAATGCTTTTTGTGATGCGTGCGCCAAGTCTCTGAACCATATATACAAGTCCTGACTAACCTTATATCAGTGCTGAAAAAGCAAATCATGTTCCATCTGCTAAGGACAGCAGATTTCCATACTGATTTCAGAATGGTCAATGTCCGTCATGCTTTTCTGGCTTTAACATCCATATCAGTGTCGTTTGTAGTTGAAAGGAAGCTGCAGAGATCAGTGGAAGAGCTGACACCGTCCAGATTTCTCCCGTTGATAGTGACTGATGCTTATTCTTATCTTCTTCTCTACGTTAACTTGAAGTCCTGTCCTCTTGGTTTCCGCCTGAAAAACCTCGCCTAACCTACTAGTATAGCAGCTGGTTCTCAGCATAGAAAAAGAGGGGAGGTTGGGCATGGGAATAGCAATCCTACCCCCCCTCCCCCGGGGGGAAATCAATCCAGCTGCTACAAAAAGCGCAAAGCACAAAAAACACTTTTTTTTAAATGAAGTTATTCTTCGCTGAAATTTGGGAGACAAAATGACATGGGCTGGTGAAAGCCTTCGGGAAGCCAGTCAACTGATGTGGCTTCTTTCAATAAAAGCAAAGATGAGCATGGGGGACATGGAATGTCCACACGATGTTTGAAGCTGGGAGAGTCCCTCAGAATGCAACAGAAATGTCTGTTAAGTAGTTTACACTGAACTTATCTAGTTCATATTTTTCTACATATATAATGATATGGATTCATCAGTAGATGCTCTGTTTAATGATATGACTCCATCGGAGGCTTGTGAGAATAATAAAGTTTTCCATCAGCAATGACCAACCGGTCACACTATCAAACATTCAGACCAATAGTTAGTGTCAGTCCAGCTTAGTACACTAAAGTCATCCAAGAAACACGGACAAACACAATAATAATTGACTAAAACTAACCTGTAAACCATCCCAAAATTTGATCACAGATAAACACATTTCTGATCCACAAATCACATCAGTTGTATATACACAATCGACATCAGAGCTAGGAAATTTGACAGCTGTAGTATCACCTTGTTTAATAGTGCTAGATTGATCTTTACGAAAGGGAGACGGTTTATTCGACGTATGATAAACTGCTATAATTAAACAACGCATGTCAACTTCAATATTTCCTAGTGAAAATTTAGAGAGAGAGAGGAAAAAAGAAAATTAGTAGACAAAGTTTAGTGAGGATGGACAAAATATAATAAATCAGTAATCAGTACAAAAAATTTAAATTAGTATAGTGCTTCAATATGATATTTATAACATTTTAAATAACGAGGGTGTGTAGAGGAAACAGTGCAAGATGGAAGTAGACAAATAGCCGTCAGTTATGATACATAGACCTAATTTTCTACATGTCAATTTTACATTTTTTGTTTGTATTCATCTTACCCTACTTATGACCCTGAAAATCTTATTGGTTGTTCACAGTTTAATTTATCAATGACATTAGTGCCCCACAAGGTCATATATATACGCAAGCGCCGCCAATCTTTTTTGACTGCTGTTTTGAAATTGTGGAAGCTATCTTACCAACGTCCAGTCTTTTCTCAGGTCTTTGGAGACCGGTAGAGTTATTGTTTAGACAAACCAAATAAGAAGACGTAATTTGTCTGAGTCGTGTAATGTGTTTGCACAACAAATTTCGAACAATCTAATCACACACGGACTTGTCATAAGAATATGTATGAAATTAATAGAGTTAAGAGGGAGAAAATAAATTTAGGTCAAGTTAAAAGGACGTCCCATTTTTAGACGTTTTAATTAGGAAAACTAACACACAAGTATATAGAAAATCATCACAGACAGACCAAATACTCAACTACAGTAGTCATAACCCGATTACCCACAAAAGAAACTGTGTGCAGACATTCTTTAAAAGAGTAGCACTCTCCTATGTTGAAGAGAATCAAGGAAAAATACCTACTTACGGTCTTCAAAAAGAAGGCATATCCACACAATTTCATAAAGTGTTTAAAATCGAGTCACAACACCAACAAGAAACCATCATCAAAGACCACAAGGAAATCCATCCTACCATATATATAAGAATATCTCTGAAATAACAGCTAGAATACGGAAACCGTTTGAAATAGATATAGCACACAAACCAGTCAAATCACTTAATTCGATATTGAAACAAGATTTTGAGCGAACAGTTGTTTTCGATAACTTCTTCTTCAGGCTCTACAGTTATAAATCCATGAATAATAGAGTACATATAGCCAATAAAGGCAAATGAAAATAATATCAGAAACTGTATTGGGGTGCATGTGTAAGTTGACATGATAGTCCATTAGTTAACATAATCAATCAAATGTGTATAGGGTGTATAGTCAGAAAAAATGTGATGAAGTGCGAATGAACAATTGGGTGATATAGTGCTGTCTTATAGTCAACAGAATACAAGTGTCATTGGGGTGAGAGAAATGCGATAACCACAAAATACATACAAACACACATTAACAAAGGGGGCACTGAATGTGAGGGCTGACCGATAATGTCTAGTGATAAAATAAAGAGGCTAAATTGTAAAATTGTAATAAGATGTTATAGAGTTGGTAGGCTTAGTATAAAATCACAAAGGTTGACAAAATTAAGGGTACCAATGAGGTGAAATAAGCTGGGTGGAGAAATGGATAATAAAGACATGATATTACAAAATAATAATAATGGTAATAATAATACGGAAAATTATGATCTCGGTGACCTTATAGTGGGCCAGGGTAGACAGAGAGAGTGAATAAGTTTTTTCTGTACACATAAGTCTGGTCTTTCTCCATTAATCTCTAAAGCCTCAGCTATGGCTAGCAGGCGTATTCGTGTGCCTTTGGGGAGATTGTTCGGTACTCGATACACAAATGTAAATGACTCATCTACTTTGATGCTGTGTTCGCTATCCACTAGATGGGCCAGAATTGCACTATTTAATGATTTGGTTGCTCTTTTCCCAAGCCAAACAGGAATATGTTCACGAGTGCGTAAAGATAAATTCCTTTGGGTACGACCTATATAACTAGCTCCACAGGAGCAGTTGAATTTACATACACACATTGATGTCGCCATTTTGGGTAATCTATTTTTAATGCACAGTGTCAATATCGGTTTGGTTGAGAAAGTGACATGCAGTTTTGCGACACTGAAAGTTCTTTCAATTGCTCTCGTTAATTTACGGTTTATTCGGTATTGTGCAAAAAACTCAAAGATCCAACAGAAAAAGGAGATAAAATTAATACCATTTACAAAACAAATTGTATGAACTGTAACAGACATTATTACATCGGCCAAAGTGGCCGTCCCCCTTCGAATCAGAATCCAGGAAAGCAAATCAGCTCTGAAAAGACACGATATATACTCTTTCATATCAATGCATATAGATAATTATGGTCATCAATTTGATTGGTATAATGTCAAAATCTTAGACAGAGGAAACACCAAAAGTGCAGTCAGGGAATTCCTAGAAGCCTGGTACTCAAATGAAAATGCAATTAACAAACACGTTAATATTGACGAAATATACCAACTAATAAAAAGTCAATCATGTGACTAGAAGATTTAAAATCCAAGTCAATAGAAAATGGTCAATACATATGTAAAGATGGTTACCGGGAGACGCAATTCTATCACTCATGGAAAACATTTAAATCAGTTCATTTTATGCTAAAAATTGCGCTGACGGGAGATGTTGTCCAGAAGGACGACGAAAGCTTCGCAACTATACCAACCAGCTCAGAGAACACTACTAATTGTACAGCAGTAGTGATTGCTAGCCAGGCAGATTGAGGCGGTCTAAACACCAGATGGCCGTTTCACTCGTTTGACGACGAGGTCATCAGCAGTGTATCCACAGTTTGATTCAATTCACAGAGTGGAATCAGTTGAAATCACCATCAAACCTTTTATTTTGGTATAACTGATTCGTCGGGGATTTAGTCACTGTGTTCCTCATAGTGCATATAACCCCGTATGTATGTAGAGGACTGATTTAGCTGAAGAGTACTTCTAATGAAATTTGACGAATGCATTAAATCTTGCTTGTTTTTAAAGTAAATGCTAATACTTCTGATTAACTCTAAAGATTATAATGAGTAATTTAAAAAGTGCTAAGTATACCTTTGTTATATGAATTTAATAGCGTTTCATCTTGTTCCACAGCGATTCGATGAACATCAGAAACGCTTGATGCAATTCTTGGTTTATATACACAAGCAGTTGTTGTATCGTTAGGTATAATTTCTTTCAACTTGGATATATGACCTAATGAAAAGATACGTGTTGTACGTCCTCCAGATAAGCTCAATACAAAACCATGAGGAATATTGACACCGATAGGTTTAACAAATCCAGAATTTGGTGGAGCTGATGCAAATGGATCGTTAACACGTGTAGTCGACACCTTCAAGACAAACATAACAGAAAAAAAAATCAACGAATAAAAATTATGAAAATGAACGAATGAACTATACAACATATTTAAAAGAAAACACCAAATCGCACATACATACACTTACAAAAAATGATGAAGGTTAACGGAATAAGAAGCCTATTGAAAACAGATTTTCACGAATAATCCTCATCTAGACGAAACATGTCGCGGTTCAGCGAAGAGACTCTTTTCATAAGTTAAAACACAGTTTTTTGTTCAGTGAAGAAATTTCTTTTCAACGACTTCATTTTCAAGCTGTACAATCGTATTTATATTACAGAAAAGGTTATTAAGTGGCACTAAATAATTGCTCAGTCAATAAACATATATAAGTGATAAGAATAACAATAATTAAAATGTTATAAGGGGTAGAGTTGAACTGGATGAATTACAAAATTAATAAAGATTGTTTTATAAGTGAATTGATATCAAAATTTTCTTTTAAAAAGTCAAGCGTTGTCTAAAAATTTTAAAAAATTAGGAGTACGATTACGATAAGAATAAAGATGTGAAATGAAGTGGAATGAATTCAAGTGGTAAAATAAAATAAAAACTAGAAAGAACATTACTATAACCAAGGTAAAGAAAGGGGTTTGAAAAAACGTTTTCGAACACATAATTTAGGTTTCTGTTCATGGATAGCTAAAGCTTCGGCTATGCATAAGTGAAGAAAACGTTAACTTTTGGAGCGATTCGATTTTGCCATGTAGATAACTTTGAAAGATGAATCACGTGGGGCTGAATGACCAGACTCTAACAGGTGATCACAAATAGACGACTTAGGAGTTCGTTATTCTTATGACATATATATGTATATTGACTGAGCAATTATTTAGTGCCACTTAATAACTTTTCCTGTCATATAAATACGACCGTACAGTTTGAAAATGAAGTCGTTGAAAAGAAATTTCTTCGCTGAACAAAAAACTGTGTTTTTACTTATGAATAAATGGGTATTTTTTCGGGATTTAAAAGTGTGCAAAGACTTATTTTCGGCAAATTCATTTTCTTTAGCTGTACACAATCGTATTTATATACAGTGTTTTCACAAAAGACGGTAGTAACAAAAGTGATAAGCTGTCATAATCATAGTTAAGTTTAAGATTAGTTAATGCATAAGAAGAGTTGAATAAGCGTACTAGAATTACATAAAAAGATAAATAATTTAATGTGAATGAGTTGTAATCAACATGCATATAGGAGCGAAGGAAAATGTAATATTACATAACAGTTCAAAATATATACATGAGTTTCGATAGAGAAAGAAAGACCAGATTTGCAGTATAAAATGACATCATTCTATTTCACAGGTTTTCATCAACTGCAAACTACCTGAAATTACAATGGTTATAAACAATGACATTTCATACTTCAATGTTTGAAAGTTAATAGAGAAAACACTATAAAATGAACGCATCCGCAATATAAGTATTACAATTTATAGTTTAAGTTGTCATCAATTGGTGGTAACTTAAACTATTACCTTTCAAACAATGAAGTATGAAATGTCATTATTTATAACCATTGTAATTTCAGGTAGTTTGCAGCTGATGAAAACCTGTGAAATAAAGTGATGATATCATTTTATACTGTAAATCTAGTCTTTCTTTCTCTACCGAAATATATCAAGGGAACCAAATGTATGAAATATACATGAGTTATACAGAGTTAAAAAAACAGACTATCAAAAATCAAGCTAGTAGAAACCAACAAGGTTGTCACCATGCTGATAGTAGTGGAAGTGATTGGATAATTTTCTTTTGTATGCAGGGCTTTGGTTTCTCTATGTGAGTTGGTTAGAGTTTCAGAAATGCTGAGGAAATTAAAATGTATATTTTGTAATTTTTATTATAGCTTGATTCCAAACAGTATTTTTGGTACAACTGCGGAATTTTCAGCATGTGATATCGGTAGCCCAAATTTAGCAGACGACTAGTAGCGTGTGGGTGTGATACAGACAATGTGTTCCAACGGTATATTATAGCCTCCAAAGCCTCAGGATGGTCGGGGGTGGGTGCCTTGCCCTGCGGGTCGGCCACCGCTCCGCACACCTCTTGAAATGTTCCCATATGACCGGGCGTCTTACATAGCCTCTCCTGAGGAAGTCCTACTCACTGCCTTCACGTGGCGGAGGTGTTTTTCACCAAAGTGAGAGGGCGAAAGCGGATGCCCGGCGCTCTTCACCGGGTTGACTATCCATTGGATGACAGTCTGGGGGAGATGGCTAAACCCTGACTCCAAACCTCCAACGACTGGCGTATGAAGCTCGCTGGAGCTCACGGGCAGATGTATGGACAAAGGGCTTGTTGGATGTCCTGGATGTCTGGACCCATTCAAAAAGGCGTATGAACCGAACTCCGGTCACCGGCTGCCAATGGATAGTGGACTCCCTACTCCACTCCTACTGCCTTGTAGGTCACACTTGGTTGTGTAAAGGCTAGAGCTGCACTCTCAAACAAAAGGCCGAGCGATTCTGGGGACATCACTCGTACCAAATTCCCATGAAACTTCATGAACTCTCTTACAAACGTTTACTCTCACCATGATCGCCGCGCCTGGGCAGCGATGATTCGAGATGTTCATGAAGCCGGCTCATCCTCCCGTAGGAGATAGCCGAAGTAAAGTAAAGTAAGTAACAGTATATTATTCTCACATATTCCCACAGTTATATACTGCATTACCAACAGAATATTATGTAAATTTGAACATTCTGTTTCATGTCGTTTGATGTAAACCTAAATCACACGCTCGGCGATTGGCTAACGAATATAAACTGTAGATATATAAACAGCGGTTTGATTAATGAAAAAGATACCTTGGCTCCCGTGTCGTGAATTCTGTTGTTACAGTAGAATTTAAAAACCTTAATGTAAATCAACTATTTCAAAAAACTTCAGAAAAGAAAAAAAGAAAACAGCAACAATTATTGGTGTATATATAATCACCAAAGACTCAGAGACTGTTGATTTATGTAATGGTTGATGACTGAAAAAAAATAAAATGAAAACTTCAGTGGTGGAAAAATTCTAACTATCGCCAGCGCCACCTTCCCGGGTTGCACACTACTTACTTGTAAACGATAAAATTCAACAACTTCTCCTTCTTTTAAAATTGACAACATTTCATCTGTTGGACTCCATAAAGTTATCGAAGCGCCTATACAATGGAAAATTTTCAAAAAAGTAAGTGTATATATAACAACTGATTTTCAAGGAAGCATGAGAACATCAATTGATACACTAAGTAAGATAAGAAGTGTAAAAGGTAAAGTCAAAAAAGAACACACCAAAAACACCGTGAGTTTGAACCTCGAACGTAATTCTCAGCCTTAATATATGAATTATTTGCTGGATGGTGAGTAGCAGTGGAATCCAGTATGCGCGTTTCGTCCTACTTTGGACTCGTCATCTGGATACATCTGCATCCCCCAGTGAGTGATAGTGTTCCCACTGGGAAAATCTAAAATTGAATTTAATAATTAATGTGACCTGTTGCACAAGAGAGTGGCTCTCGTGACCCAAGTGGATAACGCTTTGGCGTTTGAAACTATGGACACTAGGTTTGAGCCTCAGTGGGAACATCATCACTCACTGGGGAATGCAGGTACATCCAGTTAGCTGACGAGTCCCAAATAGGACGAAATGCGTATCCTGGATTCCACTGCTAGTCACCATCCTCCAATTAACCTCTAGTTGTCTGACCAGACATCGTCGAAGTATCTGCACAAGGAACCGACATGTCAACCTGAGACCGATCACTTTGGTTCCATCAATCGACAGGAAAGTGTCAAATTGAACTAAACAATTAAACTATGAGTGTTTCGTAGAAATTTTCAGTAAATAAGAAATGTGGTAGGACAGTTTTAAGATCAACTTTTTCATAAAATAAACCCGAAGCAATCACAGCTGACTTGCTTTATTCCTATAATCAGTGAGAGATATTTGTTATGTTTTGTCATCACAACAATAATTTATAGCAATAACCACGAAAGACACACTGAATGAGGATAAAAAATTCCTTCTAGAACAGATTGGATAATAAACCTTATTCAAACATAAGAATATGAAGAAGAAGAAGAAAGTCCAATATTTTGGTGGTTTAGGCTGATTTTGGCTCTCTGATCTGAGTCAAAATGTGCATGCTGCTGATGAGCCCATTACATAAACGAGTGAAACGACTGTCCAGTGTTTAAATCAACTCGATCTGGCTAGCAAATCTTACAGATAGATATGACGATTGGTATTCAACTTCTTAGATCAATGAACAGTAATATGTGATAAAGCTTATTTTGTCAGAGCAAAATGTGCTACAGTAACACTCGTTAGTGAAACCTGATATTTAAAGGTTATACAACTAATGTAATCCTTGGAATTTACGTACATAAAAGTACCTTAGAGAACACACTTTACTATATTACTTTTTAAAGAAAAAACCTCGCTCTCAGTAATATCCCACGACGGGCAATGTTAACTGACATAAGATCAGTTTGGAAAAGAGCTAGTTTTTGTTAAATGAAAACATGGCTTCATCAGTCAATGAAATCTACAGCAGTTAGTTTAAGCCAGCCATGTAGGGAGGTGTAGACTTCCTTACTGGTTGGAGTCCTCGGGGCGGTAAACACCAATGAAGGCTGGAGACAATTGGTGATATGGCTGAAAATCGTTCTCAATAGCTGGCGCAGATGTATCCACTTCTTGTGACTTATAATATCCAATAAAACTATACTATTCTTCGATATTACTATTCTTTTTGCCTCATATCTCTGTTTTGAATCTCTTCTTACTTTCTTCTCTTGTTTTGTGTGTTAAGTGAAGTGTGGTGACTCGAACTGCTGTACATCTGTACAAAGTTCTACTTTGAAACTAGTCAGTCAGTCATGTGTACTAGTTCGCTTTCTCCTGTGAAGCTAACCATAAATAAGTTTCACTATAAAGACATTTCCAAGACGTGACTATGCAATTTTGTTAGTATGGCCTCTGAAAGGGGATTGCACCTGAACTCAGACAAATGCAATGTGTTTTTTTTAGTGGTGTTTTTGTGTTCTGTGAATTGTATGATTTAATTAAGGAGTTTCCAATTCTTTCTAGACAATATTCTCAGCGCTTACTTTAAAATGATGTGAAGACACAGTAACATCATCTATGTTTAAATGTGATGGTGCATTATATTTTAGCTCTCAATTTCTTAGACTGTAGAGTGTATTTAGATAATATTCAAATGCTGATTCACCCTGTTTAGAGCAATTTATGTATTTCTACGATTTTACTCAGTTCAGTATACCCTCCGTCATTAACCATTTGAATTCCATGCGGAATTACGCACGACATTTTATAACTATTTTTTATATGAACAGATTTGATGGAAAGTTACGAAAAGACTTATCTTTGCTGGTACATATCTTTATAAAAAGTTTATAGTTGAAAAGTAAGCCGAAGATAACATTATTCGAAAAGTGATTTCAAGTTGAATCTCATCACAAACCAAAAATCAATTAAAGGATCTTTGAAAACTAGGGAGTAATGGGCAGTTGTTTCGCAGTATTTCCTAACTGTTTTCTAATCTGTTCAGCATGACCCGATTGGAGGTTAGACCCAGTAGCCTTAAGGTCTCACCTTAAAGGCTGTGAAACCTGGCCATTGAGAGTGGAAGATATGAAAAAAGATTAGCTGTCTTCGATCATAGTTGCCTGCTTTCTATCTCCCGTGTGAAGTGGTATGATAAGGTGAGCAATATTGAGGTTAGGCGTCGAGTGCTAGGTAAGCAGGGTAAATCTATCGACGAGGCTGAGAAATTACACCGATTGAGATGGTTAGGACATGTGTTACGCATGCATGCCTAACCGTCGCCTTCGTCTACCGATAGGCAATGTTAGCTGACATCGGGTCAGGCTGGAAAAGAGCTAGCGGTGGTCAAACCAAAACATGGCACCAGTCAATGAATTCCACAACAGTTAGTTTAAGTCACTCAGGAAGGTGTAGACTTCCTGACTGGTTAGGGTTCTTAGGACGGTACAAACCAATGACTGGAGACAATCGGTGATATGTCTCAAAATCGCTCTCAATGGCTGGTGCAGATGCATCCACTCCTTGTGACTTATGATTTCCAATGAAACTATATAGTTCTTCGTTATTACTATTCCTTTGTCTCACACCTCTGTTTACTGTCTCTACTATGCACTTCTTCTACTTTCTTCTCTTGCTTTATGTGCTACATGGAGTGTGGCGACTTGAACTGCTGCACATCAGTGCAAAGTTCAATGTCGAAAACAGACAGACAGAGACCTTAAGGTTCTGAGGTAAGAAATTTACCATTCACCTAGTGGAATGAAACCCGAAGATACAAGAATTCTTACTTAGACCAGTTCCTTACAAACCAACACTGGTGATTAGTGACCGATGACTGCAAGATGAACTTCCTAGATTCCTAATGGAAAGTTATGACCACTGAGATCCACCAAGTAGCATATGAGAACAAACACTCATCATTGAAACTGATAGGTGGTGGTGCCATTTATTGAGAATTATCGGAAGTTAAAATTCATAAGCAATTGGGTTCTGTTTAAGTTTCTCGCCTTGAAACCAAAGGGTCCCGGGTCCCACCCCATGTGGGGTCATCAGTGGGTATTGCGCTAAAGTCTCAAAATAGAACAAGTTAGCTGTTCAGTACTCCTTGGTTTTCAATGACCCTTCAACTGATCTTAATTCGTGATGAGTTTCCAATGTGATATCAATCAAATACCTACAGACCAACACTTGAAAACTGATTTCCATTCTAAGCAGAAACTCTGATTCATTCACTAACAACGTAAAACTGAGGTCAGGTAAGGCAGAACTAAAGATACATCGAATGCTAATAGGGAAGGTATTTCCGAGCTTTGATAAACGATCAACTTTAAGGCATTCTTTACTTCTTCACGAAGCTAGTGCTGATTACATTAACAAGTCTGATAATAAAGAGTCAAGAAACAGTTTAAACGCCTGCATAACATAAAACAATCTGCAGACTCAGAAATAGCTTAGTCAGTGGTGCTTTTTTTGACGTGATCCTAACAACAAACAATATAAAAATAACAGGTGAAGAAATATATTTTAACAAAGAAAGAAGAAACAATGGCACAGAATAATCTGGATCCATTTTATTTCGTCGGTTCTCATCAGTTTTCTTTAATAAAATTAAAAAAGTTTACAATTTTAACAAACTTTTGTCCATTAGCAAGCGTATTGTCAAAGCGTCATAGTGAAATAAGGCGTTGCGGTTTACAAGGTGTCTAAAGTGTTACGACACATATATATATATCTTGTTAGAGAGAAGTTTCTTGAAGAAAAATAACTAATTAGCAGTTGTGTTGTTGGGGTAGTAACAAAAGAAAATTAGTAATAGTTATGTAATTAGATAAGAGAAGATCAAAATTTCGGTGCGCATGAGGTCAGATGAGTTGATGATGTAATACAGTGAGCAGAACTCAGATCAAGAAAAATTACCTCTTAAGGGAGTCAAGCTATAACTTCAGTAAACCTGAGAAGACTTGGGGTACTTTGTCTGTTAATTATTTTGAATAATTCCAGCACATCTACTCGGTGTCCTGTGTCAATCAGATGTTTGGAGATCGACAGTTTTTCTTGATCTGAGTTCTGCTCACTATATTACATCATCAACTCATCTGACCTCATGCGCACCGAAATTTTGATCTTCTCTTATCTAATTACATAACTATTACTAATTTTCTTTTGTTACTACCCCAACAACACAACTGCTAATTAGTTATTTTTCTTCAAGAAACTTCTCTCTAACAAGATATATATATGTGTCGTAACACTTTAGACACCTTGTAAACCGCAACGCCTTATTTCACTATGACGCTCTGACAATATGCTTGCTAATGGACAAAGGTTTGTTAAAATTGCATACTTTTTATTTTTATTTTATTAAAGAATTCAGGTTGTACGCAGCTGATGAAAACCAACGAAATAAAATGGATCCAGATTATTCTGTGCCCAATGTTTCTTCTTTCTTTGTTCAAATTTATGAAAGGGAATCATTGTAAGAAATATATTTTAATTATATGGATAAGTTGTAGGTAAATCGGTGTAACTTACCGTAATTACTGGCGATGTCTTTTGGATGAAGACCTAAAACTCTTAAACGCAGAAGAGGTGTGACCTAGAGTTTAAAAAAAAAAGTAAATAATCGTAAATTAATTTACTACTGATTATTCATTTTAGTATGCAAACAGATTAAAAATTTAAAAAAAGAGCTCGGAATAGATAAATGCGATGGAAATAGAACTCTAACCTGTCTAGATGGGACACTTTCAACTACTGCATCATGAATAACAGACTCTTTATAACGTTGTATAGCATCACGTTGTAGAGCGGTAAGATTCGATTCAGCTTCAGCTGAGTCTGGAGCATTTAGAATCATGTGTAGTAATGCTTCTCCATCATTCCCCAAGGCGGTGAGTTGTTCACGGGTAGGCTGAATTCGACGTTTACCTAATTTACAAAGCAGAACACAAAACGTATATTGAATAAACAACACGCAAAATTAATTAGCTGCATGCAATGTCATCCTAAAAATAACCAGTAAACACGTTAATATTAGCAAGGGACATTCACGAATAGAAGGGAATAATAATAATAATAATTTGCTTGATTCCAGAAACAGTACTAGTGGTACAGTGTGGAATTTTCAGCACAAGCATATAATTCATGGAAAATTCCCATTGGGACTTGGAAAAAAATCAAAACGAGTGATTCTGTGAAGAATCTCTGATCCACGAATTCACCATCAAGCTGTACAATCATATATATATATATATATATATATATATAACTATTTGTTCAACCCCTCCAATACTTATGGTCTTAGTTCGTCTATGCTGAAGTATGACAATCTCCAATCATACTTTGGCCCTACTCATTTCTCCTTTTAACTTATTCAATTTGAATATTCTTCTCCTATTGTGTTAATTGTTACTGTTAATTTGAATAGAGAAAAAACGAACATGTTTGCAGGATAATACGAGCTCGTTTCGTTTCGTAGATTCTCTTCAACCGCGTACATTTTAAATAAATCAATTGTACGTTATAAAATTTCTGAACATACTGTTTACAATGATTTCAAGTTTTTTTCTTTCGTTGCTTATTATTACAATTATTATTATTCGTCATAATTTATACCTTTCACGCAAACATTCTCTCAATACTATCGAATTTTCCATTTATACTATCCGGACTTATTATTAGTGATATCATCTCTTTTCTCCTGTTTCATTCCACACGTTCGTTATTTTATTATGAACTTCTCATTTCAGTCTTACTATCTCCTCTTTAATACACACACACCACTTTGTACTAACCACTCACCTGACACCTTTTATAACCTTGAAACCACTTGTCAATTTTTCCCACCCCACATTCTACGAATCGATTATGACTAATCATCACCATTGTCTCCCATTTCACAATATTTTGTAATCGATTTCAGCCTATCACCATGATTGTCACACAAATACTACTATTCATTTTCGGTGGCATAGCGGTTAGGACGCTCGCCGACCATGCAGCAGCAGCCGGGGTTCGATCCCCGGCCGACGCACTCCCTTACCTCGCTAAGCCAGAAATAACGCTGGTGAATAGTAAAGGTTGGGCATGAGGCTAGCAACCTCATCCTGTAAAATAAACACTGCTACAGAAACTTCAAGCCGCTAGCTTGAAGCCCTATATTCCCCTGGGGAACGTGAAGGATAAAAAAATAACTACTAATCTGTCATTCTACGTTAAAAAATGTAACCGCCACATGCATAACTGGCTATTATTATTGTAACGACAACATATATTATATTTTATAATTGTAAGAACCTGAAGAGGAGTACTTATTGAAAAGAATATTCTTCGTTCAGATTGACTTTTAATATAGATAGCGACATAATTTCAAAGATGATGTAAGCAGACAATTACTTAGTGTTAAAGGAAAATGTGACTAATTACATCACCTTCTCTTTCTCTCACTACCCTGGTAATCATAATTGTTTTGTTTGTGCGCTTTTGTATTTTGTTCTGTTGCGTAACATTCCATTCAACCTTGAGGTTGATTTTCACTCACTGATTTGAAGTCACTATTAAAGGTCAAATCTACTAAATTAAATTATTTCATCTATTTTTTTAAAAATTTCACTTCATTATTTACTTCCACCCTCTTGAACTCTCCACTACAATATGTATAAGTTAACTCTGTTGTTCAATCGTGTATTTTGTCTCTAGTCCGTCCATCCTTGTTTCCAAGAGAAATTTGAATTCCACTTCTTTGTCTAACTAGATAGTTCTCTATTGACATCATCTTAGGAATTATGTTGCTCATACTTCCTATCTATAACTTGAAATCATTGTAAAAAAAAGTATGTTCAGAAATTTCGTCGTAATATATATTACATAATTGGTGGATGGTGACTAGCGGTGGAATCCAGGATGCTCATTTCGTCCTATTTCAGACTCGTTAGCTGGATGTACCTGAATATCTCAGTGAGTGATGATGTTCCCACCGAGGCTCGAACCCAGTGCCCATAGTTTTAAACGCCAAAGCGTTGTCCACTAGACCACTTGCAGGTACATCCAGATGACGAGTCCAAAATCGAACGAAATGTGCATCCTGGATTCCACCGCTAGTCAGTCACTATCCACCAATTAAATACTAATTAAATGTCCGGACATCGTCGAAGCATCTGCTCAAGAAGCCGACATGTCAACCTGAGACCGAGCAGTTCGGTGTAATCAATCGACGGGAAAATCTAAAATTCAATTAAAGTAATATATATTATAATTGATTTATTTAGGATGTACGCAGTTGAAGAGAATCCATGAAACAAAACGAGCTCGCATTATCCTGCAAATATGTCACCTTTATTTATCTCATTCAATCCGTGGTCAAACTTAAAACGTTTCACATCCGTATAAACTAACTCTTGAAAATTAGTCTGATGCTCGCGCTAGCGACTGCCTACAGGACGAAGTTGCTTAGAGTTCTAATGAGAAGTTGTGACCAGTGGGGTCCATGATACCAGGGATCGAGGACAAACACTAACCGATGATACTGACTGGTGGTCGCGCTGAACTCACGAGTCTGTAAAAGTTAAAATTCATGGGCCAATGAGTTGGGTCCAAGTTTTCTGAACGGTCCACAAGTTTTCTTCGTAACCGGAAACTCCTAGGTTAAAACCCCGGTGGGTAGGTACTGAAAACGAGTCCCAAACTGGGAGGAGACAGCTGTCCAGTACTCTAGTTTTGGTTTTCAATGGCTCTCTAACTAATATCAATCCATGGTAAGACTTAAAAAACCAATCAAATCCTTACAAACGAACTCTTGATAACTGAATATAATTTCTGCAATATTGTCTTATCATAACTGTAACCGTGTTGCGTCATATCTAATTGCTTAGTAGTCTTATTATTTCTAGAACCTTTTGAGATTTATACATTTTCAAGTATTGGTTTGGCAGGGATTTTGTTTTAATTGCATGGAGGATTTCATCATGAGCTGACATCAGTTAGAGAACCACTGGAAAACCTGGGAGTACTGGACAGCCAGCTGTTTTGTCCTAGTTTGGGACTCTTCAGCAGTACGCGTCCACCGAGGTCCAAACTCAGGACCTTCTGGTTACAAGGCGGTCTCGTAGACCATTGAGCCACTGGGACCCGATCCAATAGTCCTTGAATTCTAACTTCTGCCAATTCACGACATACCGCGACCATTTCGCAATGTCTTCTTAGAGGAGTTACTGCCTCATCTTCAACCTGCTGTACATTATACATTTCATGAACTACTTTATAAAGTATAAAACCAATTATTTTTTTACCCCAATTCACATTACTATTATTATTGTTGTTATTATTGAAAAGTGCATAAATGCTTAAGGATTCAGATTACGAAAGAAATGAGATAAAAGTTATCCCACAATTTCGAACTGTTGCTAAGGGAACGGAACTTCGTAATTATATTACACAAGATGGTACAAGCCATCAGTTACCCAAATCGTTTAATATACAAATTCTGAAATGTATAGGTTCGCAGATGACTGTTTACCTCTGTTCTCAAAGAATTCACAGACGTATACTTCTAAACATTTCCATGATTGAATGTAAACTGAACACCAATGAAGAAAATGGATAGACGTAAGTAATGTCATATACTGAGCAAATGTCTACTATTATCAGTACACTGAAATAAACAGACTGATTGAGTTTCAGTGTAGAACTCTGAACAGAAGTGTAGCAGTTCAAGTTGACACAGTCTATATGGCACCAAAACTTTAGAGAAAAGCAAGAAAAAGAAACATTTGAAAGAACTATGTGATGCGTAGAAATGTGTGCGAGACAGCATAGGTAAACTAAGGAGTGATAGCATTTGCGCCATATCACCAACAGTCTTCAGCCATTGATTTTTAGCTTCCAGAGGACGCCAACCACGTAATCTACACCTCCCCCTGTGTAGCTCAAATCATCAGCCAGAGATTTCAAGCATTGATGCCATATTTTGGTTTGGACGCCCTCAGACCCTTTTCCAACGTCATTCTTTGTTAGCTAACAGTGCTCAACGAGGAAGCTGGTTGCTCTGTGTGCGTAATACGCATCCTAACCATCTTAAACGGAGTAGATCAATCGACAGATATCAGAAAGAATGGATTCAGAGAAATGAAGATATTAAAATTAACTATGGAAAAGCAGCTACAAGAAGGTAAAAGTGAAGAGGTCTGAAAATTTAGATGTGGCTGAACCACGACTGAGGCTGACAGAATACAGTTCATTATATGCCATATCGCCTGAAGTTTTTCATTTCGCTGTTTTTAGTTGGCTTGCAATGTGAATGAAGAAAACTGATAGTCAGCAATACGCAGAGTAATCTAACAATTAAAGACTTCTTCAAATTACTATACCCAACATAAGCTCACCTTAAATTAATAACAGTGGCGAACCACCTCAGTCTTCTACAGTTTATAACCTAATCAACCAGTACACAAGATTACTACAAGCCTAAGAAAAGCAGTGCTCAAATGCACAATTCACAAATTAGTGAGCAGTTACCAACGTACACAGTTCCAGGGTCAATATTTTCACCACAGTTTACTTTAGAAAACAAACTAATTAGGGCGAAGTTCAACAATAGTGTCCCAGGAGTGTGAACGTTCCAATGACCTTGAACTCATGCTAGTCGTTCGCTAACGGTATCTGTCATTATCGTAGCTGAAATATCAACGCTATTCACCAACTTAGGAGCAAATTTCACGTTTTTAAGTACTGTTTGGACAATGTGTTAATAGCTCGTTACGGCTAGGATTAGGGTTAAGGTAAGTATTGGGGTTAGGGTTAGGATCAGGGTTATGGTTAGCATTAGGGTTAGAATTACGGTTTGAATAAGGGTTATGATTAGGGTTAGAATTAAGGTTAGGTTTAGTGTTTGGGTCAGGATTAAGCTTATGGTTACAATTAGGGATGGATTAATAGTTGATGTCATTTATTTTAATTTGTTTTATTATCCACGTTTTCCTGGTAAGTAGTCGTCTATCCTCTTGCTGGAAACCATAATAATTCAACCGAGGGCTTTTTTGGAAGACTGCAAGCAGGAAGAGAGAGATAAACGATTCACAAAAACAGTTTATCTGTAGTCATCTCGGTGAATACATGTACAGAAACTAGTCTAACTTGGCAACTGATACTCCTCGTTAAAACTAGGACGTATTTTTAAGCCATGTTAGAGAAAGATAACCTGTTTAATGCGTTTTCAAGCATTTTCTTGTCAATATACATCATTTTTTGAGCAAACAATCCTCATTATTATGATTGGTCACCTGAAGGTCACTCGTGCGTTCAAACTTCTGGGACGCTATTGTTGAACTTTGCCTTAATCAGATCACAATATTATTTGTGATCTGCTTGATACCAGAAACTGTCATGAATAGAGCAGATATATATTTGCACAAAACTATTTACTACTAGTTGATCTAAATGAGTATTTGTATACTACTCATATCAAACAGTACTGCTTGCTAGCCAGCCATATCGAGGTAATCTAAACACCGGACGGATGTTTTGCTGCTTGCTCGTTCGGAACCGAGCTCATCAGTGGTGACACAGGTGTGATTCAGCTCGAAGAACCGGATCAGTTGAAACTGCCCGATTTCTGGCTAGCTGATGACACTGTAAATCAACTTCACAATTCGTAAATTCGACTCTTTGAGCTGAGTCCAACTGGGTACACCGCTGATGAGCTAAGTGCTAAATGAGAGGAACGACCTCCCAGTGTTTAGGTCACTTTGATCTGGCTAGCAAGCACTACCGGTTGATACCAGCGTTACCTAACTACTAATCTAAATTAATCAGTAGTATATAGTTTTACGTAAAAAAAACGTTAACTGCTTTAATGAGTTGAGAAATACCGTCATTACATAGCCAAATGCAGCTGAACTCCGAGGTATGAATCATGGATGCAAAAATGGTTAGATTTCAACAACATAATAAGTAGTAGGGGTTAAGGGTAATTATTATTACTTTTTTTTAAAAAATTACCTGGGTCACTGAAAACAAGTTTGTCTAGAGCGCTGTCTATCACTTGACGCCTTAAAATTTCATGTGATCTAACTTCTGCCTCTTCAGCTCGTTCACTACGGAATATTCGACGTCGTCGAAACTTGCCAAGTGATTCATCTGTACCAGAATTCGTGCGTGATAAGGTAGTTGACATATCTGTATTCTGATCTGAAATTTCTATTGTCTCCATATACTGTAAAGAATATCGACGCTACATACGAAAAAAAACATTGTTTTCATTTAGAAACATTAAAACTAAGAATAATGTAATTACTGGAAAGTTAATACAACTTTGAAGACAAAAGGATGAGATAAAGTATGGACTACATTTAAATTGAAACCCACAAAAAGTTACAACTTAGCTATCCACAATACAATTCTCACGCTCCATGATATGACCAACACCCATTGTGCAAGGACTGATCAACTGATACTACCCAGTAACCCAGATCGAAGTAGGTAGGGCAAGCTTTGAAGCCAACATCCATTGGCTGAAAATCGACTGTTTAAGCCAATACCCCTATTAAAAACTTCGTTTGGCTAAGGGTGGATAGACTTCGGTTTTTAATAATAATAATAATAATAGCTTTATTCCAAACAGTATTTGTGGTACAGATATGGAATTTTCAGCGCGCATTACAATATTGCATCTAATTACCTCATAAATTTTATAAGGATTTTAAAAATAAAAAGCAACAACAACAAAAAGAAAAAAAGATAAATAAGGGAAATAAAAAAGAACAGCATTGCATTCACATATTTAAACAATGCACCACAGGATATGATATATAAAATTAGTTTGTAATAGAATATATGAGCAACAATATAATAGTAACAAAGAAAGGAGAACAAAAGCTAATGGGAACTATTTGTTAGAGTGCCGCAGTAAATTGATCGTGTCATACCTAACAGTTTTCTCATCACATAACAGCTGTGCCAGATAAGGTATTGTGGAGTTTTTATACTTGGTAGTCCTGGCATATAGCCTCCTATAGTTGCTTCTAGTTCTACCAGATGAAATGCAAAGAGAGAGCTGCGTATAGAGAGGGTGTTCGGGGTCTGACAATATAGACTTCGCTAGTTTCTTACATGACATTATATGTCTATCCACAGTGGTGTTAACCAGTTGGTTTAATGAAATCCCACTTCCCCTACTAACAGCTTTTAGTGCCCTACGCAGAGAAGCAAAGTCTTTCTTAAGTAGTCCAGGGAAGATTAATGGGGAGCAGTAAAGAGGGATCGTTAGAATACAAGAGTTGACAAACTGAGAAAGCAAAGACTGCTTTATACCAGACTGCCTTAACTTCCTAACGTAGAACGTTAAGCCAAACATCTTTCTAGTCACTAGCAAGATGTGAGAGGACCAGGAAAGATCGGAGGAAATACTCAGTCCAAGGTACTTGACATTAGATGTATCTTCAACCTCTATGCCGTCAATGATAGTGGGGCCATGTGAGCTAGCTAGTTGTTGTAGGTCACATTTTCGTCTGAAAGTGAAATTTACTACCTGACATTTAGACGGATTCAGCTTAAGACCGTTTGAAGAGGACCACTGACAAATTTCCGAGAGAAAGTTATTAAATTTGGAGCAGTCTGACTGAGAATTGACAGGCATGGGGACAGAGAGGTCATCAGCATACTTGACAAAAGTGGCTACATCAGAATGGGGCAAGTCATGTAAGAAAAAAGAAAACAGAAAAGGAGAAAGAACAGCACCTCTTGAATTGCTGTCATATGGCCGCGAGTTCATAGCCCCTTCTAGACAAATTCGATTCGTTGCCTTCACGTGACGTGGGTGTTCCTCACAGAAGTGAAAGAACAAATGAGAACGTGTATGGCGCTAAAAACTGGACTGCTCGACATACTGGTATACCTAGGTGGGGGCTGGAAAACCCTGATTCCAAACCTATGGTGTACATGGGCTCCAGAATTCGAACAACCGCCTGTTTTTCAGTCTGTGCATCCGGGCAATATCCGAGCCATCGCATAAAATATGAGATTCTATGCGGCGAATCTCTTGATGCTTAAGTCTGGTAGCAAGTCTGTGTTTTAATTGTAATAATAATACTGGTTAAACCGAAGGGCCACATCTTCAAAACGCCACAAAAGAAGTACACTTTTTTTCAATATACTGAGGTAACAAAAAAGGCTAGGTAAACAAATATTGTGGGGTCTAGTGAGAACCAAAACACTGGATAAAAAATAATGACAAGCCTTATTTTGAACATTTTTGTATGAAGACTTCTGTTTACGAATTTAAACTTTTTGGTTTCAGTCACTATAATACTTAAATTGGATGAGTAGAAATTTAATGGCGATATAATTATTGATATATGAATAAAACTCGTGCACTGTGGTACAGTATAATACCATTATGGGTAAAATTCGTTACAATGGTTAACATGAGCAGCTGTGGCTCATCTCTCTAGACACTCTAACTTCAAACCTTTAAGTCACAGATTCGAACCTCGTTCCACCTAACGAAGTTTAGGCGGTCAGGGCAGTTACTCTAGCCCTCATTACCAACTGCATGCAAATCCAAGTAGTTGTTGAGCAACACACACAAACACAGTGATACACATGAATTTAGATCTCATATTTTCCTGGATGCATGTTATGTGTTTATTTTACTTCTTTGCTGTGTTTTGGACAAATTAAACTTTAGGCACCAGTAAGTACCAGTGGAGTGCGACCGCACCAATGACCTTGAAATACCCAGTGAGCAAATTAGTAAACCCTGGTAAATAATATTGCAATCACAAATACACTATGCTTAATGAAGTGTTTTGTTATTAAATGGGATATCTGGCATCTTTCAACTCAGATTTTGGTTGAGATTAAGTAAAGGTTTAGGCTAAGGACAGGTTAGGGTTAGGTTAAGATAATAGGGGTGGTATGAGTTAGATTAGGGATATTTTCACGTTAGAGTTAATTAAGTTAAGGAAAGATTAGGTCTATTGTTAGAGTTAGAAGACCTAGATAATTACGTGCATACAGTGTATGCTAAATTACTCTGTTGATATTCCAATCCAGAACTGAGAGGTATTTTTGTCATAAGTCGGAGAAAGGTATCCTGTATAATAGTTTCATGACTTTTAAGTTGAACAAAGCATCAACTACAGTTTTAGCAGAATCAAATGGTACCATCTTTTATTTCGTCGCCTTCTCATCAGCTGCTTACAGACCAAAGACATTATTAAATGTATCTACAAAAACAATTTTAACATACTTGCACAGAGTTCATTTTAAACAAAAATCAATCGATCAATATACGCATACAGTAATTATATATATAAATATATATATATGTAATATTAAACACTACTCCGAACAATGATAATCATACACAATAGTAACTTTTCAGTATCTCGCATTCGGATGAAAAATATCCAGTTACCAGGGCAAAGAAAGAATTCTTTCTGAACGCATAAGTAAGGTTTCAGGCGCTTGATGGAAATGGCTTCAGCAAACTTAAGGAGCATTGAACTCTTTTGCTTATTGAAGATTTTGAACGACTTTTCGACGTCAACCTCATGACCCGTGTCAGGAAGATGCCAGGCGATGGCACTGTTTAAGGCATTTGTTCCATTTAGACGTAAGCTTTTTGGTACATGTTCAGAAAATCGTAGATATGCTCTTCTTTCTGTTCTTCCAATGTAACTGCTCCCGCAGATACATGTAAATTATTTTATTATTTTCATGAAAATATTTATTTTCTACACAAAAATCGCCTTTATCATGTGATTGGTACGTTCAAGGTCATTCGTCCATTGGTACATATCGGTGCTAAAAGTTTCACTTTGCCTGTGTTTTCTTTGTTCAGTCTTTAGTTTTTCACTCAGGTTATAAGCTAATTCTTACCGTGACATGAAGGGTGACGAATTAGACTACTAGAGTTAGCTAATGTTTGCTCTTATCTCAATATACTAGTCAACTTCCAGAGAAATGATTCTTTTCCATAGAGGAGCACACGTGGGTATACTTCTTTTAGCAGTTTACGTAGAAGACAACGTATCACAGAATAATTCTGTACAAAGTTAGTAATGATGTCCTCTGTTCGTTAAACAGCATTGGACTAGCACAGATGTAGAACCACGTAAGAATGCGAAACAATTAGTTCCCTTAATGAATTTCAATTAAACAATAAGAAGACGTAAATTATCTGACTAGTGCTCAACACACTGTAAAGAATCTCACCACACACACACGTATTTTCATAGGAATTTATATTCTAATAAATCAAAAAGCGGTGGGAGAAGTGACATCGATTTAATAGTGTGAAATATTCCCATATCATGAATTTAAAGTCAATCTAAACGAAGAATATTCTTTTCAATAAGTTCTCCTCTTCAGGTTCTTACAATTATAAAATATAATATTTGTTGTCGTTACAATAACGATAGTCAGTTATGAATGCGGCGGATACATTTTTCAACGTAGAATAACAGATTAGTAGTCATGGGGTGTCCAAATAAATAGTAGAATTTGTGTGACAATCATGGTGATAGGCTGAATTCGATTACAAAATATTGTGAAATGGGAGACAATGGTGGTGATTAGTCATAATCGATTCGTAGAATGTGGGGTAGGAAAAAATTGACATGTCAGTTCAAGGTTATAAAAGGTGTCAGGTGAGTGGTTAGTACAAAGTGGTGTGTATTAAAGAGGAGATAGTAAGACTGCAATGAGAGGTTCATCATAGAATAACGAGTGTGTGAAATGAAACAAGTGGAGGCATACACTGAGATAAGAGATAATATCACTAATAATAAGTCCGGATAGTATAAATGGAAAATTCTGCGTTCACATTGACTTTTAATTGACATAGGTCAGATTAAAAGGCTGCAGTGAAGGGTAAAATAACAATGGAGATCAGTAAAAACAAAGCAGGAAGATAATAGTACATCTATCCTGCTATCAAAATAAAATTTACCAAGGTAGGTCGAACTTACTGTTAAATTGTTTTAAACACATAAAGGTGATTTAAACATCTTAACTAAAGGCTTTCCACCTAATTTAGGATAAATCCTAAACACGTTTTATGATAAGGTTTAAAAACCGTATAAACATCGACTTCATGTCCTGCATCTAAAAGAGGTTTAGGAATAGAAGAGCTAGGTCGTCTATTTTCACTATATTGAGGCTGACATGATTCCATGTTTCTGAAAATCTAAACTGCAGAGGCCGATAAAAGCCTGACTATTTAAATGT